GTGGTAGCAGATGAAGTTTTACCCTGAAGTGGTAGTTGTTTCACTTCGGCTTCACTTCAGCTATAAAAGCTGGCTTGAGTCGATCGAGGGCTACAGTCTCTTGCTTACCCTGTTTGTCTACAGTAAAGTATTTTTCAGCTCGACCAATCACTGGGAAGGGTCCTTCATATGGAGGCTGCAAACCTTTTCTAATTCCGTCGGTCCGAACGAAAACAAACTTGCAGGACGTCAGCCGCTCATCCAGTTGTTCACGACGGTTGCTGGTGCCAGCTGGTGTGGGCTGTATAAGCGACATACGTTGAGCGAGGTTTTAAGCAAATGTAGGGATGTTGGTTTCCGATAAATTCTGTGGGTTTACGAGCTGTCCTGGCAAGACCAAGTTCGTTCCGTAGACTAGCTGGGCTGGGGTGCATCCTAAGTCTTCTTTCACAGTGGATCGGGTTCCAAGTAGGATGATTGGAAGGAATTCACTCCATTTAGTAATATCACGCTGTGCCATCAGCGAGCTTTTTAGTTGACGGTGAAATCTCTCCGCCAAACCATTCGCTGCTGGATAGTAAGCTGTGGTTCGTATGTGATATATTCCGAGGAGTCGAGTGAACTCTTGGAATAAAGTCGACTGGAATTGTGAACCTCTGTCAGAAGTCAGTGCATAAGGTACACCAAAGTGTGAAGCCCAGCGGTCAAGGAAAACAGACGCGATATTCTCAACCGAAGTATCACTTATAAAGCAAGCAATAGTCTATCTGGTAAAACGGTCAACAGCTGTTAGTATGTGGGTGAATCCTCTGGATGCTGGAAGAGGTCCCACAAGGTCTATATGGACATCCTGGAAACGTCAGTCAGGTAGTTGGAATTGTTGAGGTGTAGTAATCGTATGCCGGTGTACTCTTGAACGTTGACACTGCAAGCATTCCCGTGCCCATCTTCTGATATCCGCATTCGTGTTAAGCCACACGAAACGCTGGCTGACCAGTCGAACCGTGGCACGCACACCTGGATGCGATAGAGGGTGTAGGTGCAGGAATACAGCTTTTCGACAGGTTAATGGAACAAAAGGACGGTGCACACCAGTACATGTATCACATTCAATGGTAGCATCGGATAGGGGTATTGGAACATCTTTGAGAGTAGGAGTTGAATTCATTTGGTTAGCCAGGAGATCCGGGTCGGTTTTCTGTATTGTTGCCGTATTTTTGAGCTCGATGTCTGGTTGCCGTGTTAGAAGGTTCACGTCAGTGCGAGACAAGGAATCGGCTACAACGTTGGCATTACCCTTGACAAACTGGATGCCCGCAGAAAACCGCGAGCTATAACCCAGTTGTCTTGCTTCTCTTGGCGAATGCCTATCCAGTGCTGTTCGAAATGCATAGCATAATGGTTTGTGGTTGGTGAGGATGGCGAAATCACACCCTTGTAGCATATGATTAAAGTGTTTGACCGCGAGGTAGGCGGATAGGAGTTCCCCTCCGAAGATACCGTATCTTGTTTGGGGTGGCTGTAGCTTCTTGGAAAAGAAAGCAAGTGGAAGTGTCTTATCGTCAAGCTTCTGCTGAAGCACAGCTCCGACTGCAGATTGGGAAGCGTCTGTGCAGAGGATCAAGCGTGCCTCTGTGTTAGGATTCAGATGCGAAAGCATGACCACCTGTGATAATGCTTTTTTGGCGTTATGGAAAGCTTGACGTGCTTCGTCGGTGAAACGGAAATCCTTTTGGCTGCAATTAAGCAGATTTGTCAAAGGCTGGAGAATCGAGGCTCTGTGTGGAATGAAACGTCGGTGGAAGTTGAGCATGCCAAGGGAACGTCGTAGTTTCTTTGTCGAATAGGGTTCGGTGTATTGCAAGAGGGCATCAGTTTTATCGCTAAGAGGTTTTATACCTTAGGCGTCTATGTGATGTCCCGAAAACTCTAACAAGGGTACCCCAAAGATGCACTTGTTTGGATTGATAACTACCCCGTGTTGCTGAAAAAGGTCGAACAAAGTGGTAAATTGTTGGAAGTGTTCTTCCTGGGAAGCACTTGCTATCAGGATGCCATAGATATAGACAAAAAAGAGATCGAGACCTTGCGCAGCTTGATCCATGAATCGTTGGAACGACTGCGCTGCGTTTTTGAGTCCAAATAGCATTCGGAGAAACTCAAACAGTCCGAAAGGGGTTATTATGGCCGCTTTTGCGATGTCTTCCGGTGTGACAGGTATTTGATGGCATGTGAGAACTAAGTCCACTCTTGAGAATATGGTCTTCCCATGCAAGTTAAGGGAGAAATCGTGTAGGTGGGGGATGGGGTAGCGATCAAAAGATCCCGATCGTCACCACACGGATGCCAGTCATGATCCTTCTTTGCCACCATGTGCAGTGGCGAGACCCAAGCGCTGTTGGACAGTCGTATTATGCCCAGCTGCATCATATGTTCGAATTCAGCTTTGGCGGCAGCTAACTTGTCAGGTCTTGGGCGTCGTGGTCGTGTTCGGACGGGTTGGCCTTTGGTGACAATCTTATGCACTGTTGTGTGGCGTACTTCCTCTATGCGACAGTTGGGTATTACTACGCAAGGGAAGTTCTGGAGCAGATGTTTTGCAATGCAGACGCTATGGATAGAACAACCTGACACGGTGCCTTGGACGCTTAGCTTTGTGCATGCATCAATCAGCTTCTTGTTGACATCAACTAGCGGATCGAAAGCACGTAGGAAGACGGCCCCTAATATAGGATGAAGTACATCGGCGACGATGAAAATCCAGGTGAATCAGCGGCGTAGACCAAGATCTAATATCAGTGACTGCTCACCGAACGTTGATATACAAGTTTTGTTCGCAGCTTGAAGAGACAACTTGCTAGGGGTTGTTGATGGTCGCCGTGAACGTGACAGCGGAATAACACTAACTTCGGCATCTGTGTCAACTAAAAACCGTAAGCCTGAAGTTTTCTCCGTCACGTAGAAGAGGCGACTGGAATGGTTGCCAGTAACAGCTGTCGCTCTCACTGTCTGGCTGACCCAATATCTGGTCTGCCGATGATCTTTTATCAAAAGCGCAGGGTCTAGTACGCCGGTTGGCTTTGTGGCCAAACTTTCTCTGGTACCCGCAGATCTCTTGTGCGGCTTTTGGTGAGCGAGATCGATGCCCGTCGGTTGATCGTTTACGAGCTATGGACCATGGACGACGAACCGCAATATTCGACACCTTAGCTGCCAACGCTTCAAACTTGGACGTTAAGTCAGCTAACTGTGACTGAATACTAGAGGAGTGGGTAGGGGTCGATGGCAGGTTAAACTGGGGGCTATTGGTTGTGGTTGTCATCAACTGGCTATCAGAAAGATTATCTGGGTAGACTTCCACTATTTTGTTAGCCATGTTGGCTAAGCTATCTAGTTCGGTAGTTGTTGCTGAGATACTTAGTATCTGCCGCACATTGAATGGAAGCCGCTGAAGCCGTAGCTGCTTGAGAACAGCTTCATCGGACTGATATGAACCGCTGAGCTGTTTCATATACCGAAGCAGTCGTGAAGGCTTTCTATCCCCCAGTTCACATGAAGTGCTGCAGCCGTTTCTCGTCGGACATAGATGCCCGCTGGATAACCGCTGGCTTCAGTTTGTCATAAGGTGCCTCTTCAGGAACATTATCTATCAAGTCTCTGACTTCGGTGGCGACCTCAATGGGTAAGGCTCCTACCACATAAGCATATTTAGACTCTTGGGAGCGCATATTGCGCGCCATGAAAAGAGCCTCAATTTGAGCAAACCATATACGGGGTTGTTAAAACCATACGGGGAAGTCGTATGTCCGATATGGCGTGTAATGAGCTTGTCTGCACATCACCACTACTCTGCCCATTTGGCAGGCGTGGGGAAATGACTCGTGGGGAACTCATTAGTGGCCGAAGAATAAACAAAATTACAAAAAATAGACAAAATAAAACTCTAATTATGGCTATGAAGCAAAGGAAGCTCGCTAAGTAGGGCTCACCAATAATATATAGTGGACCCAAAGAATGCCAAGTAAGCCAAAATGACAAACTACGTATAATTTACAAGAAAAATGGATTTTATGATACACGTGTGTGAAAAGTTATACGTTATAGCACAAAATAGTATTGTCAATGTTATAGATAATCACGGGTTACTTGGAGGTTATTTCTTCGGTATCGTCAACCACAATTTTAGGATACTCCAGAGATCAGAAGGCGATATTTGTCGTCTCCCCGCTGTGGTCCTCGGTCGGCTTGATTGTAGTAATATTTGGAAGTAGGATGAGAAGTCCTGTAAATTCCCCAAGACAATCAGTTATTATGCACGACAGGCAATAGTCACGGAGGCAGAAGTCGGAATGGTTAGAAGCACGTCACATGTCCATGATTAGCAGCAGCAAAAGATGCAGTTACCGCCTCAACCAAAGAAATGTGTATATAAACAACATTTGTCTTTACAAGTATTAGGAATAATGTACAGAATGTGTAAAAGGAACGATGAAAAGGAAATATTGCTTACAGTTGAAGTAGTTTATACACAATTGTATGCAGTCTCCACAACTTCCTCGCAATCAGACAGACCAGCAAATGCGTTTGCCTTCCGGGTTATCCACTGTCGACATTGCTTTAAAAAGTCACAGCATAAATACCAGAGCGTTTTGTACCACTGCAGCAGTCGTCAGGAGTATTCAAAACGCGTCACGGCGTTTGGTGAGGATTTCCGTCGAACACAACTGGGATCTAGTGAAGAAAAGAATCAATCATGGGTTCAGCAAAGCTTGATAATATGTTATCAAGAAGAGATATTTTTTTGTAATGAGAAAACTTGCGTACATATATGCACACGTCAAAAGCTTCCCTTTACAGTTGCATTCGTATTCCCACCCCACTGACAAACCTTCTGTTATCCATTTAGCCCGTCATGCAAACGATTCTGAAGGCCAGGGTCAGGATTTAGAAGTAAACGTAGTAGATTGATGTCGCTAATAGCTTACGTCCGGTTTGATAGCCAATTGGGATGTAATTGGTCCCGCAAGGTCACTAGCGCTTCCGTTGACTTTGGTCGTTGCCGTTATGAAGTAGGCACTTTAGTTGGTTGGTAATGGAATAGATAAGCTTTGGCCTAGCTGTCCCCCATGACTAAAGTCAATGGACCACAAGTTATTTTGTTTGTTAGCCTGAGTACAAATAAATGGAAAAAAGATGTAGATTATTTAACCTTGAGCAGTGACATCTAAATCTGATTCTGCCTGTTAGAGTAGAAGTTAACCTACGGCACATTTACCTCGGATATATATATGCATAGTATATTTTCTAGGTTTCGTTATTGTGCGTGTCCTGCAAGATCAGTGGTACAAATAAAGGTTAAATATTTTAAACTCACACAATTATAATTATGTGAGTGGGTGTTAAGGGGTATCTTCGATATTTTAAACACCTAATGAATCCCCTCCTGGTATTCTATATTCTAGAGGATACAGAACAAACGCTACGATAGTTCCAACTATCCCAGGCAGCATTAGCTTCGGACGCACATTCTGGGTTTCGGGCTAAAACCGAAAATTTTACTTCGGGCGCATATTGGGTGACGCACGATATCCCCCGAATGTTCCAAACCTTTTCTCCGAAAGTGTTAAAAGTCACCAAGTGCCCCCTAAGTTTCTACAACGCGCCTAAAGTGTCTGCAGTGCGCCTGAAGATTGGTAATAACCCATATCCCAAGTGACGAAAATGCCTAATCCGTAATATTTTCATCTGAATATTTGAAGTTTATGTGCTACGTCTGTTTGCGTTATAGAAGCCAGTGAAATGTTAGCGGCCAAGTAAAATATTTGTAAAATTTAGGGGGAATACCCAAAAGTTGCTAAGTGCGCACGAAGTAGCTTCGGGTGAAACCCGAAAGTTCCAAAGAGCGCCCAAAGTAAATGCTGGCTAGGATGAGGATCCTCATATGTTGCAAATCCAGTTTCTCAGACAGGTTTGGTCTAACACCTCGCTGCGTTCTCGGCCTAGCTTATCATTCAGCAGGGAAGGGTTAAAGACTGTGTTTTTGAACCCTATGTGAGACCGTATGAGACTTGAAAATTCGGTGCAAACATGTAGAACTGTATCATTCGAAAACTCGTCTAATGATTATTGGTCCTATGGGGCTATGAAATGTGTTTTTGTCACACTTGGCATGGTTTTAACTCGTGAGGGCCCAAAACATTTAAATACCTCGCCCATGATGCCCCTGGTCCCATTCAGTTTAAACTATATACTTGAGATGCAGCAAATCCTAAGTTAAATACAAGCCCATTTTGGGTTGTTCACTTCTGAAGTCGAATTAAGTCCACTCTGAACCCTTTTCCAACCTAATCCAGCTTCCCCTAGGATGGCATATGAAGGTGGGCGGTGGCTCAGCATGTGCAGTGCAGGTTTAAGCCATCTCAGTCGACTAAAGTTCACAACCTCACCAATTGACCTGCCTGATACCCTTCTTCTGACCTCGCACTGTAATTTCACACAACTCCAGGAATGCTACGATGACACTGGCTATCAAAACCCTGTAGTCGCTTCATATATATTTTTAACAGTTATGTCTCGTAGGCGTTCAACAGGATATAAAGGACTGCAGTGCAGTATATCAATCCTTTTATTCATAGTCGTATACCTCACCAGTCAGCCCTGCAGACGACGCAAGTCGACAAGTGTCAAACCACCATGTGTCCGTGCTAAGACTTCGTCAGTGACGGGAATGTTCCAGCTGATGCAGCTGCTCAAATGAAGTGGTCATATTTCATCACTTCATTCCCTATCATTAAACTGGGAGTGGCCGTAAGATGCCAGCCTTGGAACATCATATAACGTCTGATGAGTGCCACATGCATGCCAAACGTACTCAGATTTCTGCTCAGCGCTTTCAGAAGACCCTACATTTTGTTAGCCTTTTCACCTGTCAGGACAATATCGTCTGCATACTCCAAGTCATCCAGATGACCTCCAGGGAATAGATCAATCTCTGTGAATTCAAACGTCCCTCAAATTACGTCCATTAGTACATCTATAAAGAAGTTAAATAGGGACGGTGACAGGACATCCCTGGCAAACACCACTAATAGTCGTCACTTCTAAAGACAGATCTCCATAAGCCTTGATACGACTATATGTTCGGGTGGAGAGCCTTGATTAGTGTTATGTACTTGCTCGGTACTCTTTTCACATACTGCCACAAAACTCGCGGTCGACAGAGTCAAACATCGGTTTCTGGTCAGGAAATATGATAAGTGTTGGCCGGTAGGTATCCCTGTGTTCCAGAACCTGTCGGAGGGTGAAATTATGAGCAATGCACCGTCTTCCAGATCTGAAACGTGTCTGGTTTCCCGAGTTTTCTGTCCTCGGGCTCTCGTTAGGTGTCTGATAACTATGGAAACAAAGATCTTGGATACAGTGTTAGTCAAACTAATTCCCATAAGGTTGTCATAAGAAAACGTCTTTCAAATGGACTGAGGTGATCTGTGAAATACACCATTCTGACAGGACTACATCCAATTCCCATACACTATCTAATACCTTCACTTGGCGATTTCCTACCACCGTCCTTGAAAAAGTTATATGACAAACTTTCAGGACCTGCAGCTTCGCATCACTTCCGGTTCGATACAGCCTCAAATGAAAGGACAGTTGGAGAACCGACGTCTGCGCCCCACTCGGGTTCAGGCTGAATGTTGTCAGCCGAATCACTGATGGGGGTTAGTTAAACCAAGTTGCTGCGTGTACTGCCTAACATCCTAGCCGCCAATCCTGGAAGGTTATCAGCCTCCCATCCCTTTACGTGGTGTTTACACTCACTATCGTCTTCTTGTCGGTATCCTTAATACACCTAAACAGTTGCCAACTTTTGCACAACGTTTACGCCTTCTCGGTCTCGCTTCCTTTCCCCACCCATCACTGCTCGTAATCGGCGCAAAAACTCATCATCGTCAAAATAGGACTAAGGATTACTACGTGACGGTCTGAGTTGCCACAGCTCATATCAGTACATCAAGTAAGAAGGCAGTGAAGTAGGAGATGAAGAGAAGGAAACTCAGTCAAAAGAAGTGTAAAGTACGAGAAGAGAGAAAGGAAGAGCAAGAAAATGGTGAGACTCGGTGTAGCGTTAAGATGAGGATAATGTGTGTATACATATGGGCCACTCACTTCAATTCTGAGCCATATCACCTAGAGTCTTCAACCACTGTCTCGTCCTGTCCCACGGACCCCAACTGGCTAGTCTGCATCGCCCCACATGGCTGAAACCAACGGTCAAAGGCTTCATACATCGATGCCATGTTTTAGTCTGACCTCCTCGGGCCTTTTCCATCCTGGACCTACTTCGGCCAACATTGTGTGACGAGGCAGTCGGCGACTAGACATACGTAACACGTGTCCCAACTATCTCAGTCGATGAAAGTTCACAAGCGTGTCAACTAAAACTCTACACCTTACTTGTGGATTACTCACGTGGTGACACCACGGAATACGGCCTACACTTCGAAGGCAACGGTGGTCAAACACGTGAAGCCTTCTTATGTCTTCTACTTTCAATAGCCACGTTTCACAGCCATACAGTAGAACAGAGCGGACTGCTGTGAAGCACACGCAATCCTTAATAGATAATCAGATATCACGGCAGTGCTACAGGTGGCGTAAGTTGGCAAAAGCCAGCCGAACCTTTTTTATCCGTGCAGAGATTTCATCGGCCACTGAGCCATAAGGGCTGATCCTACTTCCCATGTAATTGAAGTGGTTGACACACTCAACCACTGCACCCTGTGTTGTTAACGGAGGCACTGTTGAAGACCAATCTTGGAGCGAAAATTTGCATTTGGGTGGTGTGAAGCGCATGGGAAACATTCTCAAATTGCCACTCAAAGTGTTTAGAAGACTGCATCTTGTCAACATCTTCATATAACAGGACTATATCATCTGCATATTCTATGTCTAAGGAAAATTCTCCCGCGATTAGGTCAACCTTTATGTAGTCAGGTGATGAGAGGGAGACCTCCATGAGAATATCTATGATAAAATTGAATTAGAATGGAGAGAGTGAGCAGCCTTGATGGACACCACTCGACGAGTACAGCTCCCGGATATCTCACGATAGGATATAACGCGCTCATAAGTGTTCGAGTAGAGAGCCTTCAATAAGGTGATGTAGTTACTGTGCACGCCTTTCAATGAGAGACATTGTCGTAGGACTTCTGGATCAACGAAGTCGAATAACTCGTTGAGGTCGAGAAATACAACTAGTGTTGTGCGTCGGTAAGCTTGCCTATGTTCCGGAGCCTGGTGCAATGTGTTTGGTATGGGAGTCTCAGAAAGACACCACGCATCCATGGCTCGAGTTGCCAGGGTTTTAGCCAATGAAACCTGTTGACCAATTTGACGGAGGGTGCGGACCTTGAAGGCCCTGATGTGTACTCTGGAGTGCAGTTTAAGCAGACCAAGGATGCTGTTCTGTGGATTCAGATCTTTGTCGAAGGTTTCATAGCTAGGAGAAATTAAAGATGATGTAGTATTGTTAATTGAGGGACGTGAAGGAAGACTACAAGATAATGATAAGGGAGATGGATAGCAGTCTGACTAGACTAGAGTGGTGACAGAGTTGTGAGGGCGGTTGACACTTCCCGGCTGCCCACACCTTGGAAGGCTATTTCTTTTTAAGGTACATGAGAGAGATTTGTGTGACCGCAGAGCCCATCGGACATCTGCTTGAGGCCTGCCATACGCAGCCTTTTGCGTATGATTGTTTTGAATTTTTGTTGTTTTGGGGCCGGATGGTCGAAAAGAAACGACAAATGAAGGAACACCGTCGGCCCGGCAGACCGTGGGGTATAGTGGAGTGTGTTGTTTTTTTTGGCCGACTATTTCTCACCCCCTTCCACTGAGAAGGCAGCATCAGCATGGTACTGCTGGCCATCTGAGGGAAACACCTTAATGCTGTCACATCCTATCCAGCTAGCAGCAGTACGACTTTGCCCTCAGACCCCCTATCATAGTGTAGTAATTTACACCACAACTGTAATTGTTTTTCGTCTAATCACTATCCCACAAACGTTTCTGGTATGGTAGGACGTTGAGGGAACAAGTGTTCCACCAGCATAGCTCGTTGGGTCATTGTAATATGCAACCCGACTACCACGTTAGGGTAGCAGCTATCGGTTGGGGACTCTTGGTCTATTGATGTTTGATTTTTTTTAAATATCCATCGTTTTTAGAGCCAGCTGGAATCAGTGTTCTCGCATCAATCAATTCAGGTGACGTCGCGGGAACCTAGTGACGTTATCTAAAACTCTCGGGCTTAGGTTTCCAACTGTCTCTACCTCTGTTTCTACAGCAGACTTAATTTCACACCAGGTTTCCTCTGAATGAGCACGGCTGTCACGTCCAGGTAAATGCTTAGCTAACTTCTCCCTAAATGGGTATTTGGTGTTCTTATCGAGCGCAGATAGGCCTCACTGCCTCCTGTTTCCTGCTACCAGTAAGACGCAGATATTCGAGACAGTACTAGCACGTGATCGGAGTTTAGACTGCTATCGTAGAAAGAGCCACAATCCAAGGGGAAAACCTTAGGGTTGTCACACCCCATGTTATCATCAGTACTACTCCGCCCTCAGACCCCTATCATAGTGTAGTAATTCACACTACAGTGGTAACATGTTTTCGTCTTATCCCTATCCAATAGACCTTGCTTGCACGGTAGGACCTCGAACGAAACCTCAATACAGCCAGTGCAGCTTATTGGGTCATTGTGATGTGCAACCCTGATCACCACGTCAAGGTAGCACCTATCGGTCAGGATGTTGGAGTGTACAGAAGTAAGTCTTAAGAAGTAATCCGTCAGTTCACTAAAAATCCAAGAATTACTCTAGAAGGTATGGATAAGAGTCACCGGTCTGTAATTCTCCGGGTTGATTCTTTGACTTCCTTTGAAGATTGGCTTCATGTTACCTAACTTTCAGGGATTAAAAACTTTCCCTTGACTTTAAGAATCTTTAAGTAACTTGAAGGTTCAACCAACATTGGTGCTTATTCCCGTAGGACCGCTGCGTGGATTTTGTCCGTTCCTGCAGAGGTATATTTTGTGAATAGTAGCTGTTTATTTTGTACTAACTCAACACTTGTCAACACCCGAGATTCATACTTGTTTAGTGGGATATTCTTAAACTCCTCAGTAGGTGGTCCTTGATGAAAAGATATGCTGACGCTGGAAAGCTAGGAGTTCAGCTACTTCAGTGTCATTACTAGTCAGCCTAGGGGCCTTTTTGAGAGACTCACTTTGACTTTTCGGGACTATGCAGCATAGCGGTACAGACTTCTCGCATTAGAAAAGGGTGTTTGTAAGCCTAAATTAGTTCTATTGCTCATCTGCTCAGTGCCTTTGTGTATGTGTTTCTTCTCTGTTTAAATAGTCTGTAGATGTGTTCGTTACTATTCCTTTTGTGTTCGGTCCAGTGGTGTCTTTTTAACCTAAGTAGTTCACGAGTAGAGTTGCTTTATTACCTTAGGTGACTTGGAACACAATTATAAATCCTTTTCAGTGCTAAACTACCGTCTTGTCATAACTGGAACAAATAACTGAGTATTGCGACGAAATAAAAATGATATATTATGTACCTAAATAAATGGTAACCTCTCAGACAGCAAACACTTCGGGCACATTTTCTTACTTTTCAGCACATCCCTAAATTTGTTTTCATTCAACTTCCCCGCTCCTAAAAGCTAGTATACTGTTGCAGATTACTTAGTCGATAGTTTTTGCATCGGTAGGTCGAAATCAGTCACAAGCACACTGTTGTTTAGCAATCTGTTTACTTCTGAAAACTGGGCACATTGCAGACACTGACAATTTTAGGCAAAACCTTCAGTGAGCTTTGGAACTTTTAGAATTTTCGGGGAAAGCTTTTGAGTATTTTGAGAAATATAGGTGCATGCCCTTAAGTGTACCCAAAAATTCGTAGCAGAATGTGGGCTCAAGGTGTTTGCTCATTGGGTTGTTGCTAAATAAAGCAATTGGATTGAGGGTTTTTCTGAATAATACTGAAAAGAGAGTTAGTAACGCTATCAGTCGGGGAGATTTATTAAACGTATGGGATATTTCTAACCAAATTTGAATCACCACGTTGGTCTTTAATTGCAGATATATCCCAGATAATTAAGTCCAATCCATGTGACATTGATTTTTCCTTCTGAACAAATTTCCAAGTTGTTTAATTGAAAAGTCTGTGACCACATGGGCTAATTGTAAATTCTCGGGACCACAGACTCTGTGAAAATGGTTAACACTCGACAGCCGGCAAACGCTTTGGGTGCACTTTGAATATTTTGAGATATTCGGATAAAACTTTTGGACGAACTTTGGAACTTCAGGGAAAAACTTTGAGTGCACTTCGTAACTATTGGGAAATTTGAGTGAACTTTGGAACTTTTGAGAACAACCTTTAGTGCATTACAAATTCCTATCTAGACATTCAGAAAAAAGGCTGAGTTAGCGAAGGATTATATTGAATTAAAAACATATATGTTTATTCGCTCAGTCAGTCTCATTTCTGAAAACGTATGGTTTTTTTGAAATGTAGGTGGATTTTTGGTAGTATATTCTAAGTGTTTGCCGACTGGATCTCGGGTAATATCTCCTAGTCTGAAATTAGGAGGACAAACTGGGAAGTAGGATCAGCCCTTATGGCTCAGTGGCCGATGAAATCTCTGCACGGATAAAAAAGGTTCGGCTGGCTTTTGCCAACTTACGCCACCTGTAGCACTGCCGTGATATCTGATTATCTATTAAGGATTGCGTGTGCTTCACAGCAGTCCGCTCTGTTCTACTGTATGGCTGTGAAACGTGGCTATTGAAAGTAGAAGACATAAGAAGGCTTCACGTGTTTGACCACCGTTGCCTTCGAAGTGTAGGCCGTATTCCGTGGTGTCACCACGTGAGTAATCCACAAGTAAGGTGTAGAGTTTTAGTTGACACGCTTGTGAACTTTCATCGACTGAGATAGTTGGGACACGTGTTACGTATGTCTAGTCGCCGACTGCCTCGTCACACAATGTTGGCCGAAGTAGGTCCAGGATGGAAAAGGCCCGAGGAGGTCAGACTAAAACATGGCATCGATGTATGAAGCCTTTGACCGTTGGTTTCAGCCATGTGGGGCGATGCAGACTAGCCAGTTGGGGTCCGTGGGACAGGACGAGACAGTGGTTGAAGACTCTAGGTGATATGGCTCAGAATTGAAGTGAGTGGCCCATATGTATACACACATTATCCTCATCTTAACGCTACACCGAGTCTCACCATTTTCTTGCTCTTCCTTTCTCTCTTCTCGTACTTTACACTTCTTTTGACTGAGTTTCCTTCTCTTCATCTCCTACTTCACTGCCTTCTTACTTGATGTACTGATATGAGCTGTGGCAACTCAGACCGTCACGTAGTAATCCTTAGTCCTATTTTGATGATGGTGATAAACAACCATAATTACTTTTCATTTACCTAAGTCCTAGTGCTGTGGTATTTATATGAGATGATTAGTCATTCAAGTATTCTTTAGTTTAAACCCGCAATATCCTAACTAAATGCTGTTCAACAACTGTAAATACAAAGCCAGCGATTCATGGCATGGAAGGGATTTTCACAACTATTTAGGTGAATTCGGCTACAGAATCAGTTCTTATTTTTCCTCAATGTGTAAAATAAAAAAAAAATTTATGGAGTCATTCTGTGTATTCTGACTTGTTGTTCAGTGTCATTTAATCGCATGAATTATTGTCTTTCTGTTTCATTTGCAATCCAACTATAATCTTGAGAACCAACTTAAGAGAGTCTAATGAGCAGTTTCTAGGTTTTAAGACGGGTCTCAGTTTTTTTGAATTTCATATTAACCCCCGCCCCTCAACTATGCTATAATTTGAGGTTAGACCTCATATTATATAATCTCCCGTCCTACTGAACTGTCATGCTTCATACATAAATCTTTCTTGAGGGCATCTTTACATTGGATTGCAAAGTTTTTCAATGTGTACGGACTCATTATCCTAAGTGTTATGCATTGACCATTCTGAACTCTAGTAGAACTTCTTATGACAAGCGTGTTTGTAAGGTTTCTTAATTTTGATACTACTCTAGAAAATAATTGACGGACGTATGAATAATACTTAACGATTCTGAGACACCATTACATCACTTCTACTCATCAATCTTTTGCAACCACAAAACGAAATAATGATGAACAGTAGTACACCAACCGAAGTAGACAAAATTTGCACCATTCTATGTAGTTATCAACATCGTTAGTTTGATCGAACACAGACAATTCATTGTGTTAGAGAAAAGTAGATAACTACATAGGTTTGTTGTACTAACAATAAACACACTTAGTATCCTTATCAGTAGGCTGAAATTTTCTTCGGTGATTATGTATCAAATTTTACATCATTCATAACTGAAAAACAGGTTTTCACCACTGTTATTTATCTGTATCAGTATGACATGAAGCTTCTTTTTATGTCAGAATTATTTGTAGCTTCGTAAGCTAACCTTTATAATCACTTATTTTTTGGTGAGTAAATTTATTGTTCTCCGTTTTTTTTACGTGGTTATGGACGGGACAGTATTCGGTGTTTTTAAACCATTTTTATCATTTATTTTTCCCACAGGTAATCCGGTTTTTAGATTACCAGCTAGTACTAAGTGACCAGTGTTTTTTTTTTAACACATATGGTCCTACACATTTAATCGCTGTATCCTTTGGAGATGCTGGAGTTGGAGGAAATAAACTCTGAAACGAATCTTGATGATGTGTTGGATAGTAACCCCTCCAGTTTAGGTAATACCTGATTTGATTTTATTTTTCCAGTCGGCAGCACGTACGCAATCGATTCTTTAAATGATGCTATGCTGATGCTAACAAGTGAACCTGTTTTTTCAAATCTGTTCAATCTAAATGAACAGGAATGGTTGAAAAAATTTAAATGCCTTTCGAGTATGATATATTAAGTTTTTGAGTAGTATCTTTCTGTGGTAAAATAGACCAATCTAAGTCAGTAGCCATCCGCCTATATGGTCGATCTCAAAAGATCTTTCGAAAATTGGATCTTCTGAAAGTCACAAAAAACAATTTTGATGAGTGCACAACTGAGTTACACAGTCTTGGTTTACTCTGTAAAGGTTAGTGGTACTTATATTTTTTAAAGTAACTTTAAAACTTTAGACTTACAGACGCTATCAACTGAAGTACTGATTCATTCCCTCAATCGCCAGGAATTAGATCAGTTAGCAGGGATGTATAATATTAAAAACCACAAAGGCCTGACAATGATTCAGTTAAAGCATGTTCTATTAAAGACATCGTCTGTTTCACCTATGGCATCATTTTTTAAAGTCCCTTCCAAAAATAAGGATAGGCTTAAAGAATTGTAAGTTAAAAGATCTTACAACGACAGTTTTATGCGAATGGCTACTTTAATTGAAATGATATTTGTCATGTATTTTGCCGGGTCGATTATTATTGACTTTGGTCACTCATTCTGATTGCAAATATTCAACTGTAGAGGTATTGTTTAAGTATTCAATAGCATTACCTTACATGTCCCTTCATCATGCAAGGTAGTAGTTCTGTCTTCTTTCAAATTGAAAAAGCAATGGATTTACTTCCTCCATACTTTAGGTCCTCTATGCTATTCTTAAAAACTATTAAAATCAGTTGAAGTGTACCTTGCTATTATAAAAAGTTACGAAAGTACCCATTCCATGAGATAAGACGTTTCATACTCCAGTCGTACATTTGTATGGTTCATGAATTAGGTTAAAAAATACGTTAAAAACACCAATTTATACATTTCAATCTTCCATCTAACGGAGTTCTTAAATAAAAACTGGTCACTATTCGTAATGATTCCTCTAGGTGTTAATGATCACTCTCCACCTCAGATATACTTGAATAATTGGGAAGGAGTCAAATTATCAGAATTTTGGTAAAAATAGCTATCGATGTTATGCCATGAAGTGATACAATAAACGGTGCAACTGTTACCCACCTGCTTAAAGATATGGGGAGAGAAAAAATATTCGTGTTTAGTTTTGATTTCTATTACCTGTTATCTCTAGTCGACAATTCGTGTTATCTGGAGCATTGAATATCCATAGTTTACACTTTTTCATGCAACCTAAGCAGTATACGACTATGTCAGTCGAGAGGTTTTTATTGTACTGTCTCTCATCGAAAGGCGGTTCCAAGCAAGTACATCCTTTTGTTAAAGGCTCTTTTGTCTAACCTGTCGGTGTGTTGGAGAGCTTGTGGTAAGAATGTCCACTCCATTCTTATTTATTTTTATCGTAGACTCACTTACGAAGATCTACCTCTCCTCATCTACCTCCACAGAGGTTGACGTTGTCATCGACCTATCCTTAATAGACACACATAGAGTACGCAGATGACATATTAGGTGAAGGTGCAAATTCTGGATAGAGTAACAATATGAGAACGTTGAAGATTTTTTTCTCATCAACGAAATCTAAATGAATGACTAGTCTGTGTTGACGCCTTGTCTGACAGTAGGGAGTAGAATGGTTGAGAACGTTGATCAATCCACCAATTTTGGAAGTTGCATCACGTGTGTGCGGTGAGGTATACAATGGCAGGAGTAATCAAACTATGAAGTCGAGAGTGGTGCAACATATCCCCAAATGGGTGAATAAAGAATTGAATCCAAGTATTCCGATAATTGCTAGAGGGAGACAGACGTCATCTACTCTGGGTTAACATGTTATAGAAACAGGTCATAGAATTTACCTCAGAACGGCCTTTAAACTATTATGCAGGGGCCATCAGGACATGTACTCAGGTTTGTCGAAGCTATAGCCATTCGAAAGTTCGAAACCTCCTTTGTGTATTCAAAAACAGTTTGCTCTTAACTTAAACCTTCTTTGGTAATATTTATCTCACTTTAATGCCGAGGGAGGTGTGGAAATTTATTATTCCCCCTCATTATCCTTGATTTTTTCAAATTTTGTATTACCTTCATTTATTTGCCTTACTCCACTTTATTTCCACCTTTAATACAAAATACCTTGACAGCTAAAATGTATAACCAAACTGTTCGAAATACATAGCACAAACAAATCATACTTCTCAGATAACTTCTGTCTTCTTATTGCATGATACGAATTCGTCAGACTAGTTGTTTCAAAGTCGGATCAGCCGTGAAGTGTCGGTGGCCGACGAAATCCCTACAAAGATGCAGGGGTTTCATTTAATTTTTTCCACGTACCCCATTTATAACAGTGGTCTAATATCCAATTACCTGCTGAGGGTGTTTTACACAACAGTCATATTTAATGAATGTGAGACATGGCCATTTAAGATGGAGAAAATGAGGCTTTCGGCATTCGACCACTATTGACTTCATAGTACTGGTCGTGTTTCATGGAATCACCACGTTAGGAACGTAGATGTCAGGTATAGAGTTTAATGCAACAGAGGTAAATCAATTGGTGAGATTATGAACTCTGATTAACGCGTGCCTAGTCACCATCTTTTTTGTTGTGTAGTGTCAGATGACGTAGTTTTAGATTGGAAAAGGGTTTAAGGTGATCAGCTGTAAACAGAGCATCAGTCCATTAAATCTTCGACCGTTAGTCTGAGCCATATAGCGAAATCCAGACTTCTCACTTGGGCTTCATGTGACAATCGAGGTTGGTTATTTGAGGCTTTACGTGATATGGCTGAGAATCGATCTGAGAGGTGCCGATGAATCCACACATCTTAATCATTGTACTGAAATTCATTGTCTTATTACGCCTTGTTCTCTTCTCCCGACTAATTGCTGTTTCTTAATAATTTCATCCTTATTTCTTGGACCGTTACGCAATAATATCGTGTCTTGTGTTCATATCTGTTGAACTACCTATGCTTTTTATAATTTTTTGTTAGCTATTACTGAACTTTATCGAAATATCTGGATTTACCTATTGCTGAAGAAATCATTAGTTGTATTCATCTACTGTATGGAAACTTTAAAAAAAATATTTCTCAACATACGAGTGGAATTTCTCTGTTTCGTCTGGATTGCGTAGCTATGTAGATAAATAATTGTTTGGGTGATCCAACATTTATGTGCAGGTTGGTGCACTGGGGATTGTATTTAGGTGATTTGTACTACCTGTCTGCTTATGCCTCTGCAAGTGGAGTGGAGTTCGACCCTAGGTTCGGGTATTTTAAGGTCGGGTGTGTAGACAAATAAACCATAGGTAGGAATGTGTAGTGATGTATAAACTAATCGTTTCCATTTTTTATCGTCACTTAGCCACCATCCCTTATTTATGTTGTGATGTTATGGAAGTGTTATTCTGTGTGAATTTCATCTTTGAATTTGGGGCATTATCGAATTGAAGATAGAATATGGATCGTAGTTGTAGTATGTTTTTTGTTTTATTTAGAATAATCACACGGATTCTTGGTGGTTGCTGGCGAGTGGATGAAGTCAGCATGCAGTTAGTTACTCGAATAATTTGGCTAACATCTCTTGGTTCTGAGTCAGCTTATAATCGACCGAATAAACTACATTCACTAGAAGCCTTATTGAAAACTGAACTGTAAGATACTATGCTTTTAAGTTTATTGTACTCTAAAACCTCTTCTTGACAGTCATACATCATTGTTCAATTACTGACGCTTATCAACTCTTAATCTATGTATGTTTATATAATCTACAGTAAATTGTGTAGCTAGTCTTTGATATTCCTAATGAGCTGGTTACTGTTTTTACTGTTTAAAAACTTATCATTTTACGATTTAGGCGTATGTTTACCTAAAACACAAATGTGTACTTCACCCAACATCGGTGTTATTAAATTGCTTTTTGAGACATCGAGAACCAAAAGGTTGTTAACACCGTTACTACATGTGCAGTATGTTCATGGTACATGTATCTAACTACGTATTGTCACACTGATATTCCACTACGGGCAAGTACTAGTTCATGAATCAAAAGCGGAAACCATCTGGTACAGGGCAGAATTAGCATCTATTAAATGTACATAGTAGTGCAGATATACAGAATCAAAAAACCAGCTAACTACCCGGCTTATAAGTGTTTCAGGTAGAAAATCATTTACTATTCAAGAATAGTTGCTTATTGGTAATAGTGGTTGAGTAATAGGAGAACAGGTCTGTTTGTTGTCGAAGCATGGAATACTGTATTCATTATCTTCAAACTATTCAAGGCGCAAATAATTGCATTACGATAGGAACAGAAACTTGCTATGAAAACTGTTTAGATGTCCATGTATGCTTCAGTGTAAAAACTATGAAACGTGGTGGCATATTTGTTGTAATGGATTAGTCAGGGGCTCTACAGTCTGAAAGTGCTGGTAACTGTTAACGTACGATAAAACACTTTCCAGAAATTCCAGCTTTCATGAATTAGCAGTAATAATCAACGATACTAATAGGTAAGTGGTGATACAAAATCTTAGCAATAATGAATGTGGATTTTGAAGCATAGCTACTTCAGTAAGTTAATTTACTACTTTGTAGTTATATGATGTAAGGAGTCGGACTACAACAATCACAGCTTCGGATTCCTTACGTCAAATCCAGTTTGAGTAGCCAGTTGATATTCATTCGGTGTTACACATAGATTGCGTTGTTTGTAGACTATATTACGTCTCAAAACTGATCGTGGTGACACAGATCCACCCATGCCTCCTTTTCATCTTAATTATTGCGCCTCGTTTCGTTACTTTCGTTACCCTTTGCACTTCCTGTTTTATAGTTTTCGATAACAAGATTTTATCATTCACACTTCTGTGTCGTTCACCTTTTTGCCCTGCACATTGATTTCGTCATGTAGTGGAGTTGTGGGTTATTGGTTTATGGAGATGACTTTCAGTCAATAGGTCACAGGTTTGAACACTGCTTCACCTACCGAGGTTTGTGCAGAAAGTCAGTATAATTGACCCTCACGCAATAGGTGTGGCTCATTGCCCACTGTATTGGTTTGTGAAAGGTTGCGAAAGAGCTACACTCTTAAAAATAAGCTATGCAAAACGACCGAGTAGTTCCTTTTGATCGACTCATTGAAACCTCAACTTGCCCAGTAAAATTGTCCTGAACATACAGCAGCATAAATGTGTTTCAGCTGTCCTTGATACGCTTTACATCAGTTTTGGGTTGGCGTAGATTACGTAGAAGTGATAAGTTTACGATCAAGTTGCATGAATTCAAGTATATTCATTTTGAACTGACCACTGTTTGTTCTTGTAATCTTTGTGACTAGGATCGGAAGTGTCATAGTGATCAATGTGAATCTAGTTGTTGGTCGCTATGTTCCAAAACTGCATTTATTCACTATCCTTCATGAATTTTTAATATTTTAGGTGGACAGTTGGTTGAAATGATGACTTTTTACTTCCGTGTATATTTTTAATCTTAATATGATAATTGGTCTATTATTTCTCACTTCATTTGTTGCTAACGTTTTATTTGTACTGAGTTAATAGGTTTAAGAAATAATTATTACCGTCAGTGATTATGTCAGCTTATTCAACGTCAAGTTGGACATCACTAAGTATTTATCCTGAAATTTAATATATGCAAACCACCAAACAACTAAAAACATGTGTGAACAATAGGTGGTGTGTAGTAATCTGCATTCCAAATGTAAACAATTTATTTTCAAGTGGTATCTAGATATTTCATTGACATGCAGTGGAATCACGATGATTACAAAAGATGACATCCGATAGTGTTCAACGTTAAATAGTCTATTTGCAACTTATACTTGAATAGTTCTAAACTAGCTCTATCTAAAGACGGTTAGGTAATTAGATAATATCAGTAACTACCAAGTAGATGTGGTTCACTGCGTGTATGTGTTTACCGAGTTGCATTAATTGTCTCTGCCAGTTTCATTTTTACGGACTTTTGAACGGAAGTGTTCTCTGGCTTGAAATTATTGCGATTACATTTCAATGAATTTCTGTAATGCATTTTCTCTGAAGATGAAGGCAATAATTATTGAAATAACAGTCTAGCAACCTAAGGCAAATCTTATTGATCATTCTTGTTTGGATGATAATTTTTTGTTTAGAAATTGGATCAGTGAACGGTTAGAATCTGATTGAATCCCCTTACTTGTGATATTCTACTTCATTATTAACCGTTACTATCGATTCCACTGAATAGTTGAGTCACAATTTGTTAGACCTTTGTTATTTCATTCTCCTCACTTCTGATCAATTGTTTTTTTTCTATTGGTTACCAAAGCAACACTGAGCTGGTTGTTTGTAGTTATAAAATCCTAGTGAAATAGAAGGGTAGACTTCTGACGTTTTCCAACCTCGTGGAAACCGCTTCTTCAGATTGAAATGGGATTTAGGCGATCACTTTTGATAAAGTATGCTTTTCGATTGCTTATTTATGTCAAATAATAATTTAGAGTAAAATATTTATGGTTTAGATATATTTGAATAAACTAAGTAAATCAGTATGATTATCATTGCATTTCGATAATGGACTACAGGTTAAATGTAGTAAGTGTTGTATTCACACTCTTTCTTTCCTAAAAATAAAAGTGTAGAACTTGGGCACTGTGGTAAGATTTAATTCCATATTAGATTTGTTTATTTGATTTATAACACAGTGATCTAGTATTATCTACTTGATAACGTTTCGAGCATAAATTATTGCTCATAATCTTATCAACAAAATCACACTACTTTCAACATCTGAGTTTTATACTCTTCTCACCTCATATTCTTTGTTTTGATTTGTAGCAAACTTTTTCACATCTCTGGTACAGACGTTGCGTCATTACTATTATATGTGTTGGACGTTCATTCGATGAACAAAGATTCAGTAATCAGTCTCTTTCTTCACCTAGTTATATTGAACTTAAGTACAGTGGTTTTATCACACTCTGTTGTATGGTTGTGTGTCAACCCATCCAGTGCAACAGAAGAGTTTATTGTTCTCTATTATTTATCTTATTAAGATCTGTCCGTTGTACATAAATATGTTGAGCTAATTTGACCCCGACTGGTTAGTTTGACTTACATACTTAACCTTGTAGTCATTATATTAAAATTTGATCAAATAAATAATACTTTTCTTTCCATCCATTAGATTTATCATATTCATTTTGTGATAGTTTTCAGTCATCTGCATTATTTTCATTTATCCTTACAGATATGCCATGCTACTTGTTCGTCGTGGTGAACTGACTTACCCGTCATACACACTGAATCGTAAATCGGTGATATATCGTACTGGTGAAGAATTACAAAAGTTTGTTAACTATTCTCACATTGATGGGAAAATGACTTTTTTTTATTTTTCATTTTAAAGATTTCTAGAATTCATGAATTTAGAAATCCGATTAGACTATTTAATTAGTCAAAAATCATACGATACTGCTACAAAATTGTTCTTAGACAAGAAAAATGAATTAATTGATGAAATTACTAAGTAAGCACTAAGTTTTATGGTGAAAGCTTTTTATTTTTAAACATTTAGTGTTAATTTCTTTTATAGGATAATTCCCCTTCGTTTTCACACACTTCAGTGATGCGTTTTGATATAAATGATAATGTAGGAGCTAATATGAACGACTAGTTGATATTCTTACTGAATTTAAATTTTGTTACAGATTACGAAAGCAGTCGAGTCACTTTTACCCTATCTTAGATATGTTGTAGTTGAAATTGGAGTGGTCCTAAGAATAACTGTTTACGTTTCAGAAAGAAATTCCTTCACCAGTAGAACATTGGGATGTATAATATGAGCTTGGATAAGGCTTTCACTATGTAAACGTTAGAAATAACAACAGTTAGGAGAGTAGTTTTTGTCATTTTGTAATATGCCTTTGTTTCTTGCTTACTTTCTACCTGTGATAATAGCCTCCGTCAGACATATGTATAGTTGTTTGTATCTATGACTGATGGACGACATCCCAATTCAAATAAAAATGACCCGGTTAGTTTTCGTCAAATTGCGCCATTTATCGCATCAGAAGGATATTCAAGAGCCTATTCAAGATTGAATATATTGTGGAGAACTAACTACTACACTATGAAACATGGTCATTAAGAGTGAGGGATTCACTAAAAATGTATGAGCATTAAATCAGTTTTACCTCCGTAGGATTGCTTATATGTGATTAAACTGTCATTTAAGATATGGGAAAGCCGAGCACATTGCTCATGGATTTATTTTACTGACCTACAACTAGTAGGTAACAGCTAGCACTAGTCATCACACTATATGTGTAACTCATTTTTCAGTTCATAAATTTGCATTTCGTTGCTGAAGGCGTTTGGTCTTTTCATCAGTATGCTCCTTGTTATGTATTTTCAATTCATTATATCATAAAGTAGCAATATGGCTAGCCGATATACTAACTCATGGTGACTAGGTATAGCCTGACAAATACGTTTGAATTGCAAGAGTTGAAGACATGAAATAAAGTAGTAAAACAGATAAACAGACAAAATCAACGTAGAACCACACACACAGATGCATGGGCTCAGGTTGCCACACTTCACAGTAGTATATGAAGAACAAGTGGATAGAAAAAGTGATATCAAAGTAGACAAAGTTGTATGAGACAATTGACAATTTGAAGATAACACATTGCAAATATTCAAACGTTATAAGACGTCAAAGGATAAATACATCTATGCTGTTGTGGCCTGTTTTCAGCCATGTTATCTATGTTCCTTAACCACTGATTCCTATCGTCTTGGCGACCCCAATCAAACAGTCTGCATCTCCCCACATGGCTCAAAACAACAGTAAGAGACTTCATCGACTGGTGCCAGATCTTGGTCTGGCCACCATGGGTCCTTTTCCAATCTACTGTGACCTCTCCTACCATTGTACATCGAGATGGGGGATGACTTGGCATGAAGAAAAAGATTACTGTTTATTTTACTTTTTTCTTCACTGATGTACATCTGTTGGAAACCGTTGGTGAATCACTGCTAATTAACAGAAAGGTAGTTATATTAGCTAAAACCACACGAGAGATTCCCCATCGTAAAATGGACGTGGAGTTCGGTTTAATAAAGAAGTAACTGTAAGATAAGTGTGGTGGTGGTTCACCGTTGCGTCCTGTTCTGATGGACATATTTTTAATGATATTAGTAAATGAACCATTGTAAACTGTTACAACTGAAAAGTGATTTTTCGATTCATATGTAACGCTGACTGTGCACATTATTAATTACGCATACAATTGCAGCTTCTCTTATATTCATTCCACTCACTTGAAACATGGCCATTGAAAGTGGAAGACATGAGAAGGTTACAGGTATTTGACCACCGTTGCCTTCGTAGTATAGGACGTATTCCGTGGTGTCACCATGTGAGTAATGCAGAAGTTAGGTGTAGAGTTTTAGGGAGAAGAGGTAAGTCAGTCGACGAGGTTGTGAACCTTCATCGACTGAGATGGTTGGGACACGTACTACGTATGCCTAGTCACCGATTGCCTCGTCACACAATGTTGGCTGAGGTGGGTTCAGGCTGGAAAAAGGCCCGAGGTGGTCAGACTAAAACATGGCACCAATGTATGAAGTCTCTGACTGTTGGTTTAAGCCATGTAGGACGATGCAGACTAGGTGGTTGGGGTCCACGGGACAAGAGGAACCAGTGGTTGGAGACCCTAGGTGATATGGCTCAGAACCGAAGTCAGTGGCGCAGATGTATACACACATTATCCTCATCATAACAACGCTATACCGAATCTCACTATTTTGTCACTCCTCTTTCCTTTCTTCTCGTACTTTATATTTCTTTTGACTGCATTCACTTATCTTCATCCTTCACCTCACTACCTTTTACTTGATGTGCTGATATGAGGTGTGGCAACTCGGACCGTTACGCAGTAATGCCTGGTCCTATGTTGATAATGATGATGATGATGATGATGATGATTCCACTCACTTACTAGTCGTACAATTTCTCTTCCCTATCGCAATCCTCCGAACCTCTGTTTAGTAGATGACAAAGACTGGTACTCACTGTGGTTTTGTTTCTCTGCTATCTGAATCATGCATCACAACGTGTTATCGTTCACAAAGATGAAGTGACTGATTTCTTACATGAAAAACGGGATAATGTACAATAATTGATTTAATCTAACTTGCAGTTATCTTAGAATTGAATCGTATGGAAACGAGCGAGGCGTCGATAAAAAGCTTTTGATTGATCATATTACTTTATAAACTTCGTAAGACACTTTACTGAGGGGATTTGATAGTATTCGTGGGATTCCACTTTTCATCTCTTCGGACAGTATAACGACACAATAAATAAATTGTCCTTCTATCCTTTGCACAATGATGATATATTCACTTTGTACAATAATGATACCAATACTGACATGCTTCCTGGGCCATTCATTACTGCTCACTTGGAAGTCAAGTTCACATATGAAACAGAACGTTGTCTGTTTATCGTTCTTTGGTGTTTTGCTGCCAGGTAGAACAGATTTCATTTGTAGACGAATTATTTCCCCTAAGAAGTCATCGGTCAGTCAGTATAAGTACTGGGGATTATTTGCTCCTTTTACATTTAACAGATATCTAATCTGATGTGTTAAGTCAGGAATATTTGCACAAGTAACACTTAGAACAATGAAATGAAAACGGTAGAAAAGTCTTTATACGAGAACGATTATCCCGAAATACTTCTAGAGATTGCTGTGGTGAAATCAGTTAGAGAGGACTGTCTGTAGACAGTAATAAAGCAATGATTGTAGTGTAACTTTAAATCATTGACACAAACTCAGAAAACAAATGAAAGTTCCTTTGCTACAATATAACTTTTTAGGCTTTTTAATCGCTGTTTCATCTTATTGTAGTTAAAACATAAGCTACCGAGTCTAGCCACTTGTATGTTCACCTATAAAATTAACTGCTCTTGTAAATATATCTAGTTTAGATGATAAGACAAGTATGCCTTCATTTCCTTGAACATCGTCCAGCATGGTTAGTGAAGGATTATTAAAACTCATCACAAGCTTGATACTTGCCCAACCGGGTATTACTGAGAATACTATTGATAAAACTTCAGGCTTATCACAGTTATTAACTTCTGCACATCTTCAAAAACTAAGCATAACAAAAGCGATAGCAGTCTGGAAGTTTTTGGGGATTGATTTTAGGGTGGCACTTATCATAGACTGACATTTAGAGAACCATTGAAAACCTGGGAGCACTAGACAGCTGTTTCGTTTTAGTGCGCACCCACGACCTCTTCAGAGGTCGAACCCAGAACCTTCATGTCTCATAGTGAACAATTCACCATGAAACCATCAGGTCAGAGTAGTAGTAGTAGTAGTAGTAGTAGTAGTAGTAGTAGTAGTAGTAGTAGTAGTAGTAGTAGTAGTAGTAGTAGTAGTAGTAGTAGTTAGGATTTTCAAACCTAATTTGTTAATATGAAATATATTTGTTAGATCTGTTTTCCTCTCTCGACCTCCATTTCTAATCCAGGTTAAATTACAATGATTTTCTTCCTCATTCTTTGTTTTTACTACTGTCAATACTCCCTCCTAGATTTAATATTTTCCCCTTATTTTTAAACTTTATTACGGTAATTTATTCCTTGTTCTAAAACAATTGAGCATTGAGATTAGATAAACTCTTGCGTAATTTTGCTATTAATATTACCCTCTTTGTTATTATCCTCTAACTCAAGTATTCAAACTCGAATTCTATGAACTTTAGTCGTATCGAAGACCTAGTTGAGCAATTTATAAATGTAATTGTCAGGCTTGACTAGAGATTATCAAAAATACCTGTGCATTCTAGCAATCAAAATAAGAGTATTCAAGTTAACTTCTGGTAAGTGTTCGTATACCTAACAAATTTTTTTATTATTTAACAGAATGATGACTTCCTCTTTTTTTTACATTTGCGGTTTTTTTCTTGAGTAATATTGAATGGAAAGCTTTAAATGCTTTCAGTATTTTGGAAAATAAAATTTTTGACCTACGACTAATCATGAAAAATCATAGTGAAATAACACTTTCAAAATAGTAGTTGTTTATTAAAGTATGATTGAACCATTGACTGATGTTAAAATGTATCGGAAAGCTTCTTCGTAGCCAGAAACTTCTCAGTCGTTGTGAATTGAGCACATTCAAGTCGTTTCATAGTTAGATTACTGTAAAATTATTGAGTTGCATTCTTTGTGGTTTTTAGGTTCCTTACTAATTTTATCCTGATGGTTGCTATCTAACTGTTTTTTTTTAGCTAAGCGTACCTTGGTTCATCCCAAATCTTTTAGTTTTAGGAAGTTGAGTACGATTCCCATTAAAGTTGTATTTTCGAAAAGTATAGTTAAAAGGAAATGCATATCGAGGTTTTAACTGCTACCGGTGTATCGGTTTCAGGGAACTGAGTCATTTTCAGCATGGGATATGTAGTTGAATAGCTTAGCAACTTTTCTGCTAAGCTTTAGTTAGTGTGATAAAAAATAACATTCATTTCACAATATTCTGTTATTTGAGTTTTATTTTTGATTATTTTACCAGTCTTTCATCTCGGCGCACTGATCTACCTCAGTTCTTGCGACGTTTCAGTTTACCATATCGTGCACTGCGTTCCCTACTACTGATGATCGATATCTATGAACGTCAAAGAAGTTATACAGAAGCTATCAAACTGATTGAAATCCTTTTTTCTTTAACATGGTCAAAATGTGACGATTATTTCTTACATTCAAAGTCATCATCACCATACTGTGTTTTAGATCAATTAGGTCCTTGTCGTCTTGGTTATCTATTGAATCGTTATATTATTAATCAAGGAACACATAAGAAACAACCGATAAAAGCAGTTAAATTTGTAATTGATTATTTCAAACTGTGTAACGGATGTCAATGCCTTAGAGCTGGTCGTCGTTTAACGATTCATGATCAACTAATTAAATTATTCGATGGTGTAAAAAAGGGAATGAAAAGCTACTGTACTACTAACACGAATGATAGTAACGATAGCAGCAACGATAGCAAGGTTAAGAGCACAGCAAATCAAACGAAGCGTAGACGAATTCAAAACCTTGCCAATAAAGATGATGATAATGGTGTTAGTAGTGGAGTATTTCCTATGGATGACGCATTTGAACAGGAATTATTCGCCGTTGTACCATCACTTGAAATGAATATTAAGGAAGCTCCTAAGGTAAGTCTGAGTTATTTTATTTAGAATGTTGATATCAAATTTCTATCCACAAGTTGTTGTTTGCATGCCTCTTTGAAGTATGGCAACTCGAACCGATATGCTGTGTTAGGTTCTACGTTGATTTTGTTCTCTCTATCACTAGAAATTTGAAGAGATAAAGATTTATCATTTTTTAAGGAAGCGTTTAGCGGACAAAGTTACGACTTATAGTAAGCGTGATTCTTGAAAATAATGCAATTTTTAGGCTTTAATAATCCTATATTTTTAATAATTCCAGGTTGAAATAATTGCACCAGTTAATGCATCAGCTAAAGAAATCGGTACACACCGTCCACACTATGTATGGTTTGAAACAACTTCACCAAGTAAAAGTCAACAACACCAGCAATCACCTCAAGAATCGAATACTTTAATACTTACAGTTGAACAATGGACTATACGCCATTACATGAATAATAAAAATTTCGAATGCGGTGAGTCAAGTTAACTTAGTTTTACTTAAGTGATGATATTCACATTCTTAAGGTATGCTTTCTTCTGTGTTTATATGCCTGAATATATGATTACAATGTAAGTTGTAACTTACGATTATGTTAAAAGGTGTGACTGAGACTAATTAGTCTAAGTTGTCAAGTTTTAACCAGCTAGTTATGAATTCACACCTAACTTCACTTACCTAAGCTTTTACAACTAAGTGGGTATGAATATCCCTGGTAAATTAGGTGTATTGCATTGCCTAGTGTACTGATCTGCAAATAGTTGTCGAGTTGCATCACATTAGTACTAACGTCCTTATTATCATTATATTTCTTGTGAGTTGATATATTTAGTCCTTACTGATATCGATTCATATCCAGTGAAGAATGTAAAAGATGGCTCTCTTGTCTCAGTAGCCATGGGTAGTGGGTTTGAGTCTCAGTGGGAACACCACTACTCACTGTTATGGAGCCACATGCACCTGACGAGTCTCGAGTAGGGCGAAACGTGCTTCCTAGATCCGACTGGCATCACCAAGCAGATAACATAGAATAAGTTTTAATTGATGCTATGTTTTGAGTAAACGTTTACAGTTAGATAAGATTAATAAACTATGGAGAAGTTGCTTATGATAGGAAATGAAAAAAGCATATTTGGAAAATGATGGTTACTCTTGGTAACAGTAATTCAAATATCTCTTCTGCTGTTTGTGTATGACTGACAGTGTAATAATGTCCGATCACGTAAGATGATAATTTGACTTCCATATTAACCAGAGATTGATTAGTTGCATTTTCTTGCAGTGAAACATTTGGATACATTCTGTTTGAGTTCAACTTATCCAATCAACTTTTCAGTGCTTTAATTCGTTCCAAAGTAGATTGTTTATTTTATATAGCACACAGTGGTACAATATTATTTGCAAATAGTGATTACCAAACAGATTGAGGATCTTGGTATGAATGTGGACAATCAATTGTGTATGAAAGCTTAACCAGTAAACATTACTCCCTAATTATTTCATACATTTAATCGACCTACTAAAATGGAATCGTAATCTATGATGGTTAATTTCATCCCTTATATATTTCAAGAACTGAGCATTCAGGTATACGTTTATGAATTAAGTTATAAACCCCGCTTTCATGTGTGGGGATCCTCGATACTACTTATGTGTCCAGAACAAAGTAGGCTGGGCAGGGTTCGAACTCAGGGATAGTTGCCGAAAAGTCAAGTCCCTAAGCTAATGGGTCGCATCTATGTATAGTTGACAATCTTGTCTGTTATAGTTAACACACGCATTGTCTGTGCACATGTGATAGCTATTACGTTTTTTTGTATGCCTTGCTCAAAATCTAACTGTGTTTCCTTTTTGTGTTTTCTGTCATTCAGGTATACATTGTGAATCACAAATTTACCATTTGTTATTCACTATATTATTTTATGATATCCTGTTTGAAATATCTCCTTGTCCGCCAGATGTTTTTTATGCATATAGACAAGCAGCACCATTAGACTTATTTACAGATGAATTTTACCAATCAAGGAAAGATTTGATTGGTGCTAGACTGGAGTGGATTTTAAATGCTGGTGAATCTGATGACGTAAGCGGCTGTGGTTATTATTAACATCACTGTTATTGGTATTATTATCATTATTATTATTACCACTGTCGTCAAGTATACTGCATTTATCTTGCAACCCCACCGTGAGTGATATTAATTCACCTATCTATTTTAAAAAAACTTAGTGGTATTGTGGTAGAAGCGTGTAATTGCATATGCTTGTTTTTCTTTATGAGTTTTTGTTGTGACCGAGCGGTGGTTGCGCGCGTGGGTATAACGATACTGAGACTCAATAGACACCTCAACCAAATACCTTTACGACTGACCTCCTTCAGTACCTTCTGCTTCACTGAGCCGCGGAGAAGTCAGAAGACAAAGACGGCCTGTGACTACAAGAAAAGCGACAACTTTTATTAAGCAAATGCATGACATATATGAACCAATCAGATTTCTTATGTGAGGTCGGGTTCCTCCAATCAGGTTCTCAGGTCAGTGCATGCACAAATCATGACCTGAACATGATCTGATCATGACTTGAAAACAACTCCCCTATTGGCTGCCTTTTAGTCAGTTTTACACTCAAATGGGATAAGTTTGCTGCGTTTCCTGGAAATGCTGTCCAGCTCACATGTGCAGTTGACTCAGTGTACAACAAGGGCCTATCCTTTCAAAGCTGTGATGGCATACTTTACCGTAAAACACAAACTTCTGTGGTTCGCAATTCAGGGTGGTTAACACTTAATGGTAATACATAGGTTTATAAGCCACACATTTCTATTTAAAGGCCTCAGCTCGTTTGTTGGAGTACAGGTTTTATCGGCTTATCGACAAATAAAGTCTATGGTTTCATCAACTGGTACATTTGTAAACAGAGAAACAATATCAAATGAAACAAAACACTTACCAGAACTGTTTGAATCAGTAATGCTTCAGATAGTAAACGGCCTCAATGAAAACCAACATTCTAAGTCATCAGCCGTTAGGATAGACGTTTTGGATTTCAACCTTGTTTGATGTTACTGTGTGACCAAGGAAGACCTTATTGGATAACTTTGTCCTTCAGCTGACCAATGAAAATAAGTATTCGAATTCGGATCTGGTGGTTTTTTGTGTTGATGGACCAACTTTCACTGCCACTCTGATCAGACCCGAGAGTCGCGAGTTATTCATATGCCTGAGAATATTTTCAGAGTTTTCTCTGTTGTCTCACTGACTGAAACCCAATCTGAAATATCTATGGGGTTCAAAATTTCTTGTGCTTCCAAAGAATGTACAGCAAATCGAAGTTGAAGCTCAGTTTTAAAACCTGTTTGACCAGCTCGTGATTCTTAACGCTGTTTTGAGCGGCAGTGAGAGTTGGTTTAAATCCAGGATAGTAGATACTACATGTCTATTTCGAAAAGCATCGTCTAGCCGAAAAGAGACTATTTCTGAAGAACACTGGAGATCGTTAAGCGGACTTCGGGAGAACAAGGACGTTGCCATTCTCAACTCTGATAAAGGGAATGTGCGACTCTTATCAACAAAGAATATTATTTTAAAAAGATGCAACAAATACACCTTGACAACTCGAAATTTAAATTGAACAATAATACCAAAGATCAAACCTCGGGAAGTCAAATGTAGATGATACAACTACTAAGCAGCTTCTCATGGCTAAATACACTGACTAAACCACGCTAAAAAGTATTCAGCTGATTGGGTCACAGATTCTAGTGTTATACATGTGTGCTAAAATACACAAGCTAGGGATGCATCTAAGACCTTTATTGTCCGCGATAAATTCGCCCTATCACGAAGTAACTTAATGTTTATTTGGAATTCTTAAGTCATTGCACATGTTTGGGAAAACAAACTGTTTTTCACACTTTCCAGTTTGTTGAAAACTGAAGTGATCGATAGGATACGAGAACGCTACCAACGCCACTAGATACTTGGACTGAACACGAATACTGACTGTCCTTCCTCAGACCTGATACTTCACTGAACCGCATAAATCAGAAGACAAAGACTGGTCTGTGAGTGTAAGGAAGATAACTTTATTTGACAAAGAAACACATCATTTATAGACAGTTTCTCCTTATAAAATAAAGCCACTAGATCAGAATTTGGATACTTATTGGCATTGGTCAGCTAAAGGACAAAGTCGTCCAGTAAGGCTTCCCTTGACTACATAGTAACATTAAACAAGGTTGAAGTCCGAAACTTCTACCTTAACGGCTGATGACTTAAAATGTTGATTTCCGTTTAGGCCACTCTCTATCAGAAGCATCGCTTTTTCAAACAGTCCTCGTTAGTGTTTTGTTTCATTTGATACTGTATTTCTATTTACAAATGTACCAGTTGATGAAACCATAGACTTTATTTGTCGATAAGCCGATAAAATCCGTATCCCAACAAACGATTTGAGGAACCTCCAGTTCAATGGACAGTTGTTCGATCAAATTGACTAAGTCGCAACGGGAAACTTTCTTGTTCTTCTTTTCTCTGATTTTTTATCAAGTCTGGAAACTGGTAGTTTGAAGTACTTAATAAATCAGGCGAAGCTGTAGTAACGTTACATGGTTCACATCTTTACTACAAGTAAACTCAAAATGGTGGCACAAGCACTCTTAAAGAGCTCCACTTCACGTCATCCAAACCTAGCTGTCACGAATGAACATGAAGAAAATAATGTGACCAGATTCCTTGAAGTTTCATTAATGTAAAAAGTTGATGGATTTAACGAAAGGTCCATTTATAAAAGCGTTTATGGACGGGAAAGTAGTTTCGTTTTAAGAGCCTAGTGCCGACTCATTTCAAAAGGAATGTATTCAAAACGTCGTTTACTAGTGCCATGAAAGTTTGTTCTGACTCTACAGTAGACTGCAAATTAAGGACTTCGATCAAAATGCTATTCAAGAATGGGTTGGCAGCAGAACGATGTCCTCAATATTACAGAAAAAGTTAGTCTCTGTCAAAGGTGACGATGTGCTAGAGGTAGTTAGGCGAAGACTAGAAAAGCCTATTAGAAGGACTTCAAACGCTGCCAAACTCGTGCTCCTCAGTACCATCAAACGGACATTCCAACATTCAGGGAAAGATGGGGCTCCCATCTACGACACATCTAAATGCATATGTCAACTCGTATGCGTCTGTGGAAGTAAATACACAGGTCGTACGTAGAGGCATCTTTCTACCCGAATGGTTGAGCGTCTATGCAAATAGCTGAAGCGTTTAGAAAAAAAGATCCGGAGGTGTTCAATAATGAATTGATTATGATACTGATACCTGTAGATCCTTCATCAGTAGACAGCAGAATAAGACGTTGGTTGTTAATACAGAAACTTGTATAATTCGAGTTGTCAAACCAAACGTCTGCATTCAGAAGGAAATGGTAGTCAGCCCAAATCTACCTTGGTAGAAATCGCAACGTCGTCTAATCATATTCACTCTTCCTTCTTTATTCTGCCCTTAATTATCAACCTTATCTTATACTTGGGTTTCTGTTCATGATCTGTTTTTGCATAATTAACCTTATTCCTAGTACTATTATTATTACTGTCACCATTGTTATTCATCTCAGTGCCAGATATGTATCTGGTTTTCTCATGACTACTAACTATCCTATTCCGGGTGACGTAATGTACCGTCAAGCTATTCTGTTTTCACCCGTTTAAACATTATTGCTATTATTATTATCATTATTATTACCACCAACATTATTTTCTTACCTGAAAACCACATGATTCTTTAGACTGGACTACCATCTAAACTCATAATTAATTATGTAACTTATCTTCAACCCATTCAATTTGACCATCTACTCCTACCTTTTGCATTACCACTTGACCAATAAAAGTATTGTTCATTCCTGTGTTGTTACACTTAAGTCGATGTCTCAGTGCAGTCTACATTATCCATGTATATACATCTTTTTGGATTGCTTTATGATATCTATAATCCAGTATGTAGATGTTCCAGCTGACAAGTACTACTGAAATTTATGAATTCATCAAGTCTTACTCTTTTTCTCATTCGTTGAATAAATCCATTGTTAGTTCTTGAACTTTGGGATAGCTAACTTATATTATCTGACGAATTTCAGCTTAGTGGGGCAAAATTCATTGGTTTGATTATGATGAACTGTCATTCAAGTAACAGATAATCACATTTATATGAATTGAATTATTTCTATAACTGTTTCTTTGGGTTAACCTGTTTCACTTACTATAGTTGAATATTTTTTCTGGTAGCTACTTAAATCTTTGGCTTACGGAAATTTTCCCTTGAATACATTTCATCAAATATTATCTCTTTCGGTTTGCTTTAAACTTTGAAATGTGTCTTCTAAACGTATCATGTACTCTTGCATATTTTTAAAATGTTTTCAAACTGTCATTTTTCAAGTTAAGAAGAAAACAATGAAAAACGTTAAGCCGGGTGGAAGTGGACAGATAAATGCTTAAAAATGTAGTACAGTGCTATTTCTAGGATACCTATATCGAATTGCTGATTGTTGTACTGGTTGGCTGAACTACCATGGCCGTAATTACACTCTGTTTCTTGTTCATACTCGTGTCCAGACCAGACGCTAATGTAACACCAGCTACCCGTTTCACATTAATGCTTTTGATACTATTATTATTAACACTATTCAGATGCAATAATGATTTCTTTTATAAACGTTGAACAGGGAACGAATGTGTTGAAATATGACATGCTGAGAATTCCATACTGTACCATGCATGTTTGGGATAAAGTGACTATTATTATTATTATTATTATTATTATTATTATTATTATTATTATTACTTGATGGAGTCATTGGCTTTATCATTTTATACTAATTGTTTAACCTGCATACTTCTCACTTTGTATTTGTCACCATACGTGTACACGTTTCTATAGTGATAGTAGTAAAACATTTGCACATATTTGAGTATAGATTACACTTATAATGAAGTAATAGCTTTTTTGTTGTTGAGAAATTTTTATCGAACCAGCTGGAGTTTCTAATCGTGTATCATTGTAGTACTTAAATGTTATTCACAATAATGCTCATAAGTTTACATGTAAGAAATAAATAAATCCAACGGCATCTACATGTGAGGGAAAAAAGTAAATAGAAAGCAGTCACTGATCTGGAAAATGTTCAGCCACATCAATATCATCTGGATATTGGGAACTGGTTTCTGTTATCTGGATGAAATCTACCAACATGTCACTTGGACGCATCATTATTATGAAAATCCCTTCTATTATGGTTTATTTAGTACAGGGATCCTTGAATTAAGCACTTACCAAAATGAAATAACGATTACTAATCGAAATCGCATTAGGGATGATGTGTGCTGTGAACTTGGTGGCTGAAATCTATTAGGCTTTTATGAATTGTTCAATAGAGACACTCTATGAGATTCTTCTGAATCTGTCGAAGTGGTTCACATAAATGCAAATAAACTCGTTATTACTGTAAACTCAGAGTAGATTATCGTTATTCAGTTGCCTATCTCTCATTCTATCACGCTTTTCATTTTATTTAAATCTAATACTGCGACAAATTTTATTTGTACTCTTACTTGGCATTGTGTTCAGAGTGCAGGTGTTAAACTGATGCTATAATTTTACAGTCTACTTTTTTAATATGTAAAGATGTCGAATCATTTTTAATATGCTACAATTACTTCTGTCCAAACAGTACAGACGTCAGTAATCATATAGCTTCATATTCGACTAATGTCAATGTGTTGATAGCATAAACTGAGATATTAAGTATGTCCTCAGATTGAAATTGAGAATCTTTGATATGATTTGGCATCTTGAGAGCAATGCAATTCGATATTGAATAGCTGCACAGTGAGATAAACCGTCAATTCTCCGACACTAATCTAACCAGTCAACCCAGTCACTACCTGACAAGAACAACACAAAGTAAGATAAAACTTATCACATTTGTACTCACAATGAACCGGTGGAAAGCAAGGTAAAACATCATGTGTTTGTTTAGGTTTTGATGGGGTGACCGTGTGAATTAGCCATTTACAGCGAAAGTGTCTAGAGTTAGATATCCGATTTTTTCGACGTCCAACTTTTTTACCTTACTCATACTTAAAAGTTTTTTTAAATGTTTTGAATATTCAGTGTTTTTTTAAGTAAATCATCATTATAATATTATTATTTAACCCTAGGGTTCCTAGTGGAACATAGGGCCCTCCATTGCACTCTCTTCTTTGCACTCTTTTGAACCTCGCTCCACGACTGCCCACAAACTTTCATTTCTTCCTCACATGATCTCCTCCATGTCACCCTCAGCTGGGACGCCCAACTCGTCTTTTCCTTTTTGGGTTCCACTCGACGGCCTGGCCTGACGCGTGATGTCCCCAATTGGCCTTCTCAGTGTATGCCCAATCCATCTACACTTTCTTCTGCATATTTGTTGGGTGATAGGTTCTTGGTTGGTTCGTGGCCTACCAGAGCTCCTTGTTGCTTATTCTTTCTGGCCATCTAATCTTCAGTATCGAGTCAGAGTAGGCAGTTATTGATGGATGTCTGTAGTTTGTTGGAAATGCTCTTCGTAATGCGCCAAGTTTCTGAACCATATAGCACCACTGACTTAACGGTAGTTGAAACGATGCTGCCTAGGTAGGTGAAAGGCTACTTCCTTTAGATTTCTCTCGTTCATGGTGATTGGTGCTTGTTGTTAGTGTTGTTTGGGTATCTTAGTCACCTCTTTCTTCTCTACATTCACTTGAAGTCCCGTCTTCCTTCGCTGCCTCTCCAGTCAACTTGTTGGTTTTTGCCTGTAGATCTTCGAGTTTGTGCGACATTAGACATAAATCATCATCGGTGAAATCCAAATCTTCTAGGGTCTTTTTATCGGTCAAACAGCATAACCCCATCTCCCGCCTTACAGTTTTTTGCATGATCCAGTCCAGTCCACTACAATCAGGAAGTTCATCAGTGATACTTGGCAACCTTGTCTTACTTCTGTCTTCACTTCACAGGCATCACTGAGCTTTCCATTGTAAGTCGCTTAGCATGTAGAATCATATATAGCATATAGCTGTTGAATGAGGTTGATAAAGACTAGTGGCACTCCGTAGTGTTGAAGCAGATTACTTTTCGGTCGACGCTGTCGAAGGCCTTTTCAAAACCGAAGTTGAAGTAAAGTGTTGACTGTCATTTTATGCTCTGTTGCCTGATGATGCGTAGCGTAGCATTGCAATTTGATCCTCACATGATTTTTTTTCTCCTTAAACCAGCCAGCCTGTTCCGGTCCTAATCCAGTTGAATGTGGAACATTTTTTAGTCTCTCCAGGATGATGGGGCATAATATTTTGCTTGGGGTGGACAGGGAACAGCAGCATGATTTCGCTCCCTTATTTGGAAATTGTGTTCTGGGTGTTTCACTTGAACTGTGGCCTATCACCAACTTCTGTGAAGGCTTCCAACTTGATTTTGAAGGTTCTTTTGCACTAGGTAGTGAGTGATGTGAACCTACATCTGCTCCCCTTCTTGATCTGATCTTGTGTCCAGTAGGCTGCGTCTCCACTTTCCTCAGATTGAGATGAAATCGATCTGGCTTTTAGTTTGTCCATCTGGTAAAACCAAATCTATGTCGCTTTGTGGATATCCTTGTGTTTGTACACACTACCTCTAATCACCAAGTTTTTAAATGCGTAGAAGTCTGCAAACAGTTCTCCATTCTCGTTCATTTCACCCAGTGCTTCTCGACCCATGATAAGTTCTCTTCCTGTGTTGTCCACTCCCAACTTGGCATTCTTGTCACCCCACCCATTAGAATTTTGATGTCGCCATCTATGGGTGGAGTCTGGTCCTATATTGATTGCAGTTGTCTATAGAATTCCTCCTTCTTGTCTCGATGCGTAGCATTGTATCATTGTGACTTTCCTTTCTTTTGAGTTGAATCTTCTTGTCATGATCCTGATGCTAGAGGAGATTGGTTCTCACTGCATAAGAGCCTTCGATGCTGTTGGGGCAATCATGATAGCCACTCCAAAACTCAGTGTGCTCGTGACTGTCGTCTGGGTGACAATATCGGAGTAGATTATTGACTGTGTAGTTGAGAGTTTGGAGAGTCCACTTCCATTCCACCTGCTTTCGCAGATTTCAAGCACTTCCATGCCGTATCTCATCTCTTTCGCAATCTGGGCACCCTTGGTAGGTTCATACATGGTATGGACATTCCACATCCCCATGTTTACTTTCGCTTTCATCGAGCGAAGACACATCGGCCAATTGGCTTCCCGAAGTCTTTCACCAACTGGCGTCATTTTGTCTCTCCAATTCCAGCGTGGAATAAGTTTAATTTCACTTTTTATATTTTCTTTGTGCTTTGAAGTTTCTTCAGCGGTTGGATTTGTTTTGCGAGGTAAGGTTGCTAGCTTTATGCCCAACCTTCCCTCTTTATCCGGGCTTAGGACTGACTAGTAACTAGTGAACTAGTTAACCAGACGAAGTTAAACTAAATCATTAGTTCTGAATTATCTGTTGTTTCTTTAGGAGAGCAGAGATATTTTAAGTCTTTCCAATGCATAAGTAATTTTAGAGTGTTTTTTGATTTTGCATACCTCTGTGAATCTCTCATAGTCTTCATATATGAATGAATAATTTAGTTCTTGTAGTTTCAAATCTTATTGAACTTCTTTCACCTTGCCTTTCTCTTTCGTACATTTTAGAATTCTTCATCAAATTCTGTAGACTTCCGAATTAAAGCTTATTGGGATGCACATTATAGTGAACGCTGTCTTTGGGTTAATTGGGATTTACTTAAAAATTCACAGGAACTGATAGTAAGTTACAATCTATTAGATTCTTTTCGTTTCCTAACTTTATGAATCGACTTATCATAAATATTCATTACAAGTGTATTCATGATATATTGAATCTCTTCACAATGCATTAATTTCTCATGGATATGAATCTAATTTAGAATAAGTGGTAATGTTTCCTTGTGGATAGAAGTTGATACACATAGTCTAACGTCTTGCATTAGCTTCAACTGATTCTGAAGTGTTTATGCTGAAAAAAAACATCGTGAATTCCAAACAATTATCCTTTCTCATAGAATTAATGTGTATCTCATGAGTTAAACAGTGTTATTTCGGCATCAATTATGAGATTACTTTGTAACCAACAGCATATCTCTGTGTGTAAACGTTAATTTCAAATTTATTTACAGTCATCTGACAAATATGATGCAGAAGAAACTATCTTCTGTATTTTTCAACAATGAACTAATCGAAACACCATTCCGTGTCATGAAACACCTATAGGATGGTACTTGATATAAATTTATGATGCGCGACTATTCTACATCTTACATGGAAACCTTTAGCAGTAGGATGGCTCGATTGGCTTTCGCCAACTTATACCATTTGTGCCTCGGCTGCAATATCCGATTGTCTATTAAGAATCGAGCGTACTGTCCAAACGTTTACTTTCTTCTACTGCATGGCTGTGAAACATGGCCATTAAAGGTAGATGACATGAGAAGGCTTCTGTTGTTTGACCACCGTTGCTTTCTTGGCATTGGCTGTGTTTCGTTGTGTCACCATGTGTGTAACGCTGAAGTCAGGCATAGAGTTCTAGGGAGGAGAGGAAAGTCAGTTGATAAGGTCATGAACCTTCACCGACTGAGATGACTGGGACATGTGTTATGCATGCGTAGTCAAAGTCTGCCTCATCGCGCAGTGTTAGTTGAAGTAGGTCCAGGTTGAGAAAGGGCTTGGAGCGATCAGACTAAAACATGGTACCAATGCATGAAGTCTGTGACTGTTGGTTTACGCCTCATTGGACGATACATACTGGGTGGTTGGAGTCCACTTGACAACAGAAGCCAGCGGTTGGAGACACTAGATGATATGGTTCAGAACTGTTGTCAGTGTTGCAGATACATTCACAATTTATCTTCATCTTAGTCGCTATACGGAATTCCTTCTTTTTCCCTTTTTGTGTTTTTGACTGACTTTTCTTCCTTTTTTCATCGTTCATCCTACTACTTTGTTACTTTTTGAGGTGTGGCAAGTTGGTTCATTACTCAATAATCCCTGGTCCTATGTTGATATTGATGATGATGATTACCAATAGGACATTTCTTCATTCATCCTAACAAACTCCTCCACGCACTACTATTTGATGCCAAAACTAACACCTCATCACATCTCCCCTCCTAATAACTATTTCGATGTATACCCGTACATTGAGTCGTTGTTTAACGATTTAGTATTCAAGAATTAGTAGCAGGTCATCACAAAATAATTACATCAGCTAAGGTATAAAATAATGACATACTTTAAAATTCGTGACATTTCAAACACGTTGTTGCGCAATTGGTAATGTGTACAGTAGTGACTAGTAAGAAGAGAAAATAAATGATTATGTCAAATAGTCAATTGTTGACAATAATTACGTAGGAGAAATTCGAGGCAACAAGAACAGAAAAAGGATAGCTAAAACTGCACTTTTTAGCTGCATAAATAATTTATACAGATGGCTACGTCAAAGAAAGAGGCTATACATGTTTCTTCGGAACAGTCAGGCTCGGCTTATTCAGTGGATTTCAATGACTTCTGTTATGCATGAAAGATAAAGTTTCAGAACGTGGTTGAGATTAGAAAGAAATGTGATAAACAACTTCAAAGGCACTATTAATGTCAATCAGCCGAGAGATTATTGAACTTCGTATCGGTTTTGTTTAACCGTTCTCACGACATAACTTGCTGCACAGGAACAGTTGAACTAGTAAGTACATATAGAGGTGGCGAAGTCAGTCGACCGTAGAATATACAGCGTAACTTTGGTTCATTAAATAGAATTATAGCATTCACTAGGTCCTGTTTCATAATTTCGCTGATGTCATCCGGAAAACTCCAGTCTTAGGAACGACGATTTCTTGATACTTTGATTTCATACCAGACATGCTCATATTTTTAGCAAGGAACTTTTCTGGATATCTAATACTACTAAGTAGATCGTGGATAATTTGTAGTTCTTCATCTCGAGTATCATTTCAGCAGATACCTCTTGCCTGGTGAACCAAACATTTCGCTTGTATTGCAAAAGAACGGGACCTAAAAATTTAGTTTACGGCGTGGATGTTGTCGGTTTCCTCTATACAATTACTTCCATAGGTCCATCCATTTGCTTGTTAAAAAAACACCTAAGGTGATACTGTCGTTAATTTCTCTCTCAATGGCAAAGGTAATCTCTGGATGGATGTTGCAAATTTTACGCAATATATTCTTCGTGTCGTCCTTGCTTTTCCTTGTTCTTTCAGATTTCAACTGTTACTGTGATCACAATAATTTCACTCGACGTGGTACCACAATTCAGCATAGCAGGTTTATTTATTTGCTATTAAGATTTATACTGTTGATGATATATAAAGTAATCACAACATGTTTCATTTATTCTAGGATATATTTTGGTGTCTCGGTCCACGTGTGGTTCACAGTGTTTGCCACCATTTAGCTACAGATTACAGAAGTTGGAGATCAGGTCTTCCTGATCTATTACTATGGAGTCCCACGGAAATGCGAGCTAAGGTATGTTCAGCATTATTCGTTTCCTATTTCTCTTCATTCTACTAAGTGTTTTGCGAATCATGAAATTTTAATATGTAGCACAACCGGAAATCAGACGTGCTCTGACCATAGATATTGTGAAGCTTTTTTGGTATTTCAGAAGCCAAAGGTTACTAATTTGAGTGTTGTTTATCATTTGTCTTACTGACAACGCGATTACGCAACATCCAAATATAGTTTCACAGGAAACTTATGTGAAAATAAACTGAACACATTTCAGTAAAATCTGGGCAAACTAGTTGAAAAACAAACAGTGTAGCAAAATCATGCGATCTTATCTTTTGTCCTATGAATTCTCATTGACTTACAACCCAAACAAAATCACAATGAATAAATGGTAAAGTATAAACATTATGTATATATTATTTATTTGTCCCTTGGGTTCCTAGTGGAACATAGGGCTTCAGTAGCACGTCTTCATTTCATTCTGTTCTCTGAAATCTTTTGAACCTGGCTCCATGACAGCCGAGAATATCACATAGTTTTATCTAATTGAATAGGGCTGATTTCCCCAGTTAAAAGTGAGCATGTGTCAAGAATGATGCAGACCGGTTAACGTGCAAAACGGTAATGGGATTATTCAAAAGAGTGACCAGTATTGGTGCAACTAAGGGAATATTCTTGAAAGAAGGGGTATATAAAGATAAAAGAAATGAAAATTTACTGAAGTTTGTGAATGGACATCATGGATTATGTATTACTTAGAGGTTGATGGCTCCACAATTACTTGAAATTTTAAGATAGAAAGAGTTCAGGTAACAGAAGGATTTGATATGGATTGAAAGAGAATAGCAAATAAAAAAATGAAAAATAAAGTAGTATCGCAAAGACATTTTAGACCAGCTGTTGACTGAAAGACCTGGTGCTAAACTCGCTCACTTTATCGCTAAATATCGCAGATGAGAATGTCTGACAAGCTTCAGCTTCCTTATGCTTATAGCTACATTTTTGCTGATGAGTGGCGCCTAATACGAAACTTAGGTTAAAGGCTAACTAACATCAGACTCATAACACCAAATATTGTAGTCCACTAAAAGTGTTTATGATTGTGACTTAGCGGCTTAATGGTTAAAATCGCTGGAGACGACCATATCACTGAATCATTTGTTCCTTTCCTGATACTTATCTTCTGAGTATCTAAGATCAGTTACTGTCCATTATTCTACCATCCCTTAAATTTCTATTTTAAGTAACTTTATGCACTTACTTTACTATTCTTTCGTAGATTGTAGAAGTTAAAGGTCCAGGTGATCATCTATCCACTCAGCAAATCATGTGGCTGGATGTACTTGTTCGATCTGGTGCGGATGTAGAAATCTGTTTAGTATCAGGTAAGCTTAATATTTTATTGATAAATGAAACCGAAACGAGCAGATAATTCTTTGACAAACACCTTGATTACGCGTAAAATTTAAAACTGTATTACGGTACTGTATTAATAGACAACAACGGTTTAAGAATTACAAACACTTTTTCGTCAAGTGTCTGTGGGGTTATTGCCGTTAAAAGCACCTAATTGAAACTACGTCATCAATATAAGCAGCAAACATGTGTCTGAAGCAAACTGGACGAAAATATTGAAAACCCATGAGGAGGCATAAAATAAACAAATGTTCAGGGGGAAATATAGAATCAGGGAAACAACCGAAGGAAGCACAACATATTCATAGAGTGGGAAAGATACTATTAACGTAGGGTAATAAAATTATGAGTACAATATGATTATTACAGAAATAATCCATCATACCTACGAATAAAGTGATATTGTGAAAGAACCTGACTCATATTACTCCACAATAATAAGCAGCATTAATCTATATACATAAAAAGGTATAAGTGCAAATTGAGACAGAACACAGTAGGAAAAGAATTAACATGGTCAGAATTACTATAATATCTGATAAAGTTTAGCATAGCCCAACATCCTTTCGTATTCTCTCTAGTATCACTTATGTGCTCAAACTCTCTGAAAATCCATGAAAATTTTCAAATTTTTCACTATATGTATTACCTGACGTTTCTTTGGAAAATTAGAGTTTATCATTCTTTCTTGATAAATTTACTGATTTAAATACAGGCTCAGTATGAGTTGATCACCAAGAAATGTGCCATACAAAGTAAAATAACGACATTTTGAAGCTAGGATCGAAAAAAGGTAAAGAAGGGGAAAATGGCAATTGGACAGTCGGTTCAGTATATAATGTTTGATGAAGGCTTTCAGTGCTTTCTTGTTGCTGTTCACGATCATAATTCACAAGAAAACCCCAGGGTGAATTTCAGCGGTTTTGGCCCAGTTATAGTATCGTATCTGACCACTGAATCACAAGGTCGCCGTGGAGTCATGCGACACTGATGGATACTAGTCGAATATAAATATTCTTCACCTCATGGTGCCATACCATTTGAGGCTGGAGAACTGTATGCAATAATAGAGCCTCTGGAATGACGTTCACCCCACATACAAGACAGTGAAGGTGATGTTTGAGGAAAACGCTTAAGCACCTGCTGCTATATCTCTGAATTACTTGCATGATACTTTCCATAGACGCTGGCAATCTAGAGGAGACAGCGGTGATAGAACACCCAGTCGTCGGCTATTCTCATTTCGGAAAGGCTAGGCCTAAAAAGTCTAGCGCAAAAATCCTTAAATCGATTCATTTACCATTCGATCTTTTTAAAAAGCAAACTAACGTACGAGACGACCTAAACTGAAGTTTTAACTATGCCTTTCGAAATATGGTTAGAACTCTCGCCAGCACTCACACAACTACTCAGGTACCTAAACTTTTCAACCACTTCCAACAGTTCGTCGCTGAGAGTGAGTCCAGGTTCCTCCCAATCTTGTAAAAAGGTAATCTACTTTAACAACACAAATCACGTAACATACTTATGGACACCGATCATCCACTGCATTTGAACTGCCTGAATATCATCATGGGTTAGGGTTGTTATATCCCTAAACGAGGTGAATAAGAACAACAGCCAGTCGGTAAAGAGCAACCTTAACTTCACTATCTGTTAGTTGATATTCTCACTAGGCCGACTTTGTTTTCCATGCCTTGTACATTTTTCATGTATTTTGTCAAACGTACTATTATTCATCATGGGCTATCAAGTGAACTTGTGTTCCATTTGAGTTAGCTGGTGCGCCTTCAGGGTTTTTAAGATCGAATTTGAAGATAGCAACCCCGTTCAATAATAACCAGCTTCATGTTATTCTTTCAGTGCGTTAATTGTAGGACTAGCAAAGAGATCCAAATCCAACTTACAAGCTTTAACAGTGATCACATCTTCAGGTCAAGAACGTAACCCGATGTCGAAAGTTTTTCCACGAAGCAATATATCTACTCCATCACATCAAACAGCTACAAGAATTTCTTTGGTGGCAAAGTCAAAGAAGAATGCTGAAATCAGATTGCCCTGCCTAACTGAACTATTAGATCGGATTGATAAAGAAAGGTTGTTGTATCCTGTCACTTCATCCCAGAAGTTTTCCACACATATCTAAATATTATGATCAACTTCTTAGGGATAACCCTCTTCAACAGAAAGTTTCGGATTAACCCTTTCATCAACGATTCGAAAGCACCCTTTAAGTCGAGAAACAAAGATTGCTGGTCTGTATTACTTTGTTTTAATGTGATCAAGGCATCTGCGACCGGATCCATATCTGACTCGCCTCTCTCAAATCATCTTTTCACTTGTTTTGAGACACTGCAAAACATAAGAGTATAGCATAATGCTTTATACGCCATTTTTAGCAAACTGATGGCTTGTGATTGTCACATTACATAGGCCTTTTACAAATATAAGGACAACTATATCCTCATTCTTAAATGATGAAACACTCAGTGTGTCATGTCTACTTGAAGAATTCCTTCAGTTCTCTGACTATAGTTCCACCTCCATCGTTTAAGTAGTCGGGGATACGTTGTTTAGGTCGTTTGATTTATTGCACTTTGGTACTTGGATTTCGTTCTCGACCTCCTCCTCATGAGGCAAGTTATTGTTAACTGAAGATAAACCGCAAGAATCTAGTGTTAAAGTTACCGAAGCAGTAGGTCAGCCCAATTGTTTTTCGAAGTGTTTTTGCCCAGCATTCCAAGTTCACAGAAGTTGTCAATCAGTATGCAATCTGCTTAAAAAACTGTCCCATTGACACCACGATGCTTGTTGTTGGTGACTGCGATTAGCTCGAATGACTTATGGTTATCGCCAGATGCAGCTCCTACTGCTTATATCTATTGCCGTTGAAAGCAAAAGATTCGAAGAGACTACATGTTTTTGACCACAGGTGTCTTCCTACTACTGCTCGCATACGGTGGAATTACCATGAGTAATATCTATGTTACTCGAAGTATATTAGACAAGGCAGACAAGTCGATGACTCTGTAAGCCTTCATCGACTAAAGTGACTTGAACATATGCTGCACATGCCTAGTCACCGCCTACCTCGATTTGACATACTAGGGAGAAGTTGGACTAGGTTGGAAGAGGGTCCAGGGCGACCAGAGTAAAACGTGGTACCAGTCCATAAATGTTGGTCTGAGACATGAAGGGAAATGCTGACTCCTTGGCTGCGGTCCCCGAGACGATAGGAACAAGTGATTGAGGACTCTTAATGACATGGGTGGAAATTGGTCGTAATGGCGTAGATGTGTTTACTTTTCTTCAGCTTGTATGCTTTGATTAACTGTAATTGTTAAATTCCTCCCCCTCCCATACACCTATGTCTACCTTAATGTCACTCTTTTCTTATCCACTCGTTCTTTGCGTGCTATATTGCGAAGTGTGGCAACTTGAACTGATGCACTTCTGTGCGATTTTTTAAACTGATTTCATCTACTGCTTCCAGCTCACTTGCTCATCTTAACCACCAAAATTCATGGTCTTTACGTAATTCCTGCGAGGTCCGTCGCATAATGAAATTGTACATTTTACTGTACTTCATCATTTGCCTGAATAGACCACTTAGCGTCCTAAACTTGCAAGGAACTGACCTGTCTAGTGTTTATTCGTGGGATATTTCTCAAACATACAAGCAGCTTAACTGTCTATTTTCATGAGTTCTTGCAGTCCCAATCAATGTAATGCAAAGTGGGTACACATTGGTTTTCCACGCTGAGTTACACTTGTTGCATAAGGGCTTGTGATACTATCCGGTCACCTAGACTATAGTGGATGAAGCAGTGTTCGAACCAGGGTCTGTTGCCTAAATGTTGAGTTTCTAAATCAGAAAGCAACATCCCCACATCCAATCAACGCTCATGTATGTTTTCTTAAGGTCCAACAGAAAGTTTTGAGTCTAATTTAGCTTGTTGTTTATTCAAGCAACCGAACTGCTTACACCAGCCTATTTAAAACGACTACTCTGATGAACACCAAAACGTAGGATAAGCCTAATACACGAGGAAGCGCTGTCAAGCAGTTGCTCCAGAAAGAAACAACTGTCGAATCTGTATTAAGGTCTTGACGTTGAAGGCAACAAGCCTAGGTATGACTTCAGAATAATTGAATCATATATCGCACTTCGGGGTAGCTTTGTGGCATCAACTGTTTAGCCAACTCAAAACAACACAGAGCGGCCATCATTTCAAACAAAGACGAGTAATTAACCGACATAAACAGGACGATATTATCCATAAGTCGTGAAAATATAACAATAATAATGTCAAAATGGTGTAAATATTTGAGTTCATGTTTTGGGATAGTTTTTAGAAAAGCCTGGTTCAGATTTGCGTTTTAAAGTATTTGTTTTAGCTTTATATCATCATAGTATTTATGAGGGCTGAGATACTATTCGGACGCAAAAACCACTTCAGATGGTATTACTGAAGAACAATTGCCCTAGCCTTCGATCTCGTGATCTGATTCGAAAGTCAACAGGAGGACGTCATATATTGTATTTTCATGTCTGCCGGTGACCTAAGTAGGTTCGTATTTCATTCCTCCACATTGAATCGTAAAGCCCACATGCACTGTTGGCTGGGATCAGGGTTCACCGCCACCTCTAAATGGACCCTCTGCATCCATTTTGATCCACCCACTTATATGCACCTTTTTTCCCCGGTTAATCAGTTGAGAAGCATTACGTTTGCTAAGACACACGTAAAGATGTTCTTGTCGATTATGTAAAGGATTGAAGTCCTCCTTTTTCCTAACTAATATACAACTCTGAAGCAGTTATCCTGGATCTTCGTTAAATTGAACATATTTTCAGTTCATATTATCTATGATAATATTTCATAAAATTTTAAAAATCTTGCAAGTCATCAACTTGATGACATACTTTCAGTTATATCTCCAGGCCTAATTATTGACTTGACTAGACGGGGCAAATTTCATTAGTTTACTTGTTTTTTAATCATTTCCCAAACTTAAAAAGCTTACTGTATTCGTCTGTTTTTCTAGGCAGTTATTACAAAGCTGTAGAAATAGGTCTCCTGCCTTTCAGAACTTATCGATGAAGAAAGCTTTAAATTTAGAGAGAATTAACTCTCCTTTGGATGTATGAACTTGTGTGGTGCGGTCAGAGGTATCATCATCACTGGGTAAATGTCACCAACCTTCCGTAGAACTTTAGAAAATACACCAGCTTATCGTTGGTTCTTAAGTTTATTCTCTAGTAGTAAACATGCATAACAAGAAGTAAATGTGGAAGCCTTCAACTATTACATTAAAAGTGAATGTGTCAGTTTCCGTTACTGCAGTTTTCTTTCAGAAAACTGAAGTACAAATTAGTGTATATTAACACTACCAATTAAATTTAAGACTATCTGGTTCATGTTACATAAACATTTGACCTATGAGCCATATCTCATGGTACTTTAAGGCACTGGGACTCATGACCTTGGAAACTTCATCCAAGAAGTTGGGATTTCTCAACATGCTCACCTAGCACTACTATCGCCTCATGGTGCCGTTATGAAATTTCCACATTCCTGCCTCCTCCATTCGGCAACATCGTTGACAAATATTAACCAATCGACATACATACTATTTGGGCAAGCTAATTTACTGCTTCACATTCTGTTTCCATTTATTTTTATGTTTATTTTTAACTTGAATAAAGACTTGTCTTTATGAAAATCGTATGAAAGGTAAGACTAATATATTTCCCTATATAATTGATTTTCAGCTGAGCGGTTGAAATCCCTTCGTTCTAAATTTAGCAATTCAAAGGATACGAATGAGTCGAATTAATTTTTATAAGATTTGATGCATTTGTCTTATTTCTTCCCGTTTTGTTTTCTAACAGTATTTTTGCATTTTTGACATACATGTGATTTATTCATCATCGCCCTCCTAAACTACTTTGCTACTTTCATATCTACACATGTAACATACATTAAATAAATAACTTGGGGAGATTAACTGAGTGTTTGTAATATTTATTGCTTTAGACGTTGTAGCGAATATTTGTAGCTCAGGGTTTAGATGTTCAAAGTGAGTTGTTCTCAGACCTAGGGTCTTAGTTGGCAAACGTTTCAGTATCATACTAAACATTGATCATCATCAGACCTTCACGAAGAAATGCAGTAATTGGTTGTATGCGGATATTTATTACGTGGTACTTTGCCTTAGTATAGCCAGATTGTTCTCTTGATGGGTGTCTGGACGTGTCCTGAATCTGAGTCGACGTTTATTGCATGACAAACTTTCCTCCAATTTATTTACGGTCCAGAAAAAATTGGAAAAGAAATGTGGTTGGTTGATTCCTTTGTTTAAAAGACTGTTTTTGTAGGCGGTAGACATTTCTAATTGGACTAGAAAGATGATTTGTTGGGATCTGACTAATTGAGCCCAGATAAGCTATCTGTATTTAGATTGGCTTGGAAAATCATGATCTCTTATTAGACGAAATCACTTTTGAGAAAGTAATTGCTTTCCAGTTAAGGTTATATCCAAAATTAATTTAATTTAGAGAGATTTTTATTTGGTAGTGGTAAGGTCGCATAGTATTTCAGGAAGTGTTTTTCAAAACATATTAAGCGTGACTTATAACTGTTAATAAGGTTCCCAGAAAAATCTACATCTTTAGTACACATTTAACGAAAGGTTTGCACACAACTAGAGGTTTTTATTTTGGTAATATTTTCTGCAGAATTCTGCCCGTGATAACACCAACAGTTGGAATATTTTAATATTTCGCTCGATATGTGACCGAAATAAAAGCTTATCATTGTGTGTACACTTTTCATTAAAAATGTACTTGTGATACATTACTCCATTCCACAATGCACAGACTCTTCATCTATATATTTAGATTTGAACGTATCCTGACTAGCAGTGAACTAGATTGTTTGCAAAAACTTGAGAATACACTACTAGCTGGAATTCTAAGGATAATGTTAGTGATAAACGGATTATTCAGCTTTGATAGTTCTGACAGCATTAAGGTGCTTATCTGAAACTGGTGCCAATCGAGTAATTACGTTGAGATGGACAAATTTACCGAAATGTATTTCCTTGTTTGCCTCGAAATGGTGACTGTGTACTGCGCCCTTCGAAACTTTTTATTGAGAGTGGGTGAATTTATTGTTAAAGGTAACGTATAGCACTGGAGAATTTTCACAAATGTTTTATTTCAGCTCTGATCGATGGATAGCGTAATTTAATTACTTATGCCTCAAAGAAGTGGTAGTGCATATGAGTTGTTATTTTATCGAATAACTGCAGTAAATGGGCTTATTGGATACTGTGTAGGTATTTAATACTTTGTGCATAAAGGGAAATTCAAAGATCTTTGTCGAGCCTTCAGCTCATGGTTAACGATTTCTCCATTGGTGAATTAAACGTATCCAGCAGAGTATCAAGTGGTATGCTTGGACTCTGGTTGATTGGCTTTTCTGTGACGTATCTGATTCTTGTGTCTCTTCCATTTCTCCTGACCCACCATTATATCGTACATCACACTCTCAAGTCTTCCCATGACACCTTCCGTCCACATGCCATGTCCTAGTCTGTAATCTTGTACGTAGACAGAGTCTCCTTTGTCGAAGTGTGATCCAACTGCTTGTGTACGTGGTAGCAGCCTTGCGCGGTGTAGCGTGCGTAGCTTCCTTCCCATTAAAACGTTTGTGGAAGACTTGCGATCTGGTAGGGCGTCATTTGGCGTTGAGCGATAGATGAATAGAAATTGTTGTATAACATCCGTGTCTCCTCCTTCAGCTTTAAGGAGAGCTCGCTTAAAGGTATCCACAAATCTTTCTGCCTGGCCATTGGATTGTAGATGGTACGATGGTGTACGAATACGATCGATTGCATTCACATTGCAAACTCGTGGGAGGTGAATTGTGACCCATTATCTGAAACAATGGTGTCGGGCAACCCATGGCAGATGAAAATATCTTTAAGAGCCGGAATTGTTCAGCGTGACGATACGGGTGATACAGCGACGATCTCTGGCCGCTTGGAATAAGCACCAACAACAATCAGATGGTAGGTTCCATGTTAATGGACCTGCAAAATCGATATGAATTCTATCTAGACCAAGGTCGACCTGACAATGGCCAACTCTTTGGTGGAAGACGTGGAGAATTCTTAGCTGCCTTCTGACATGATGTGCAGCGACTGACAAATTCAGCTATATCAGAACCCATATTGGACCAATAAGCATAGCTTCTGGCGATGGCTTTCATACGTTCTATTCCTGGATGACCAGTGTGAAACTGTCTTAGGAGTTTTGCACGAAGAGACTGGGGGGATCACTACGCGTTCTCCGAACATGAGGCAGTTCTCGATGTCACAAAGGGATTCTCTTCTGCAGAACAGTTGTTTTAGGTCACTGGTAAACGATTTTTGTAACCATTTCGTCTGGACATAATGCATGACTTTCTGTATGATATAGTCCTTACATGATTCATTTTCCACTTGTGCTGACGTGATATGAAGTGCGCAAACGACACAATGCAGTAGGTTAACTGCATAGTCTTTCGTGGATACTAACGCGATCACTGTGTCTTCGTTAGTTGTAGAATACTCATTTGAAAGTGCGTCTGCATGTCCAAAGTCTTCCGTTCGGTGATACTTATTATCGAAGTCGTAGCCCAGTAATGTTACCGCCCACCGTTGAAGTCTGTTGGCGGAATGAGCTGGAGCACCGTGTTTTGACCCAAAGATTGGGAGGGGGCTTGTGATCAGTGAGCAAGATTAATTTCCGTCCATACAACATCTTGTAAAAGCGTCTGGCTGCGGAAACTAAGGCAAGTCCTTCCTCCATCTGTAAATAGCGTTTTCCTGCTGACGTGAGTGATCGAGATGCATGTATGACAGCTTTTTGTGAACCATCCAGATATTCGTGCAATAGGATAGCCCCAATACCAGCGATGGAAACATCTGCAGCAACGATGATTGGTAGCTCTGGGTCGTAATATGTTAACAGGAGATCAGAGCTGAGAGTGGACTTGAGTCGTTCTATAGCAGTTTCACATTCTCTTGAACAGGACTATGTGGCATCCTTGCGTAGGAGACGACTCAAAGGTTTTTGTAAATCAAGTAGGGAGGGCAGGGACACCGAATAGTAACTGATGAGACCAAGGAAGGATCGGAGAGTCGCGGCATCTGTTGGCGTGGGTATCTGTTGTATAGTGCGAATGTTTTCGGGATCGAAACGTCTACCAGATGCATCAAAGATGAACCCGTAATACTTTACTGACTTTAGAAATTGACATTTCTACTTTCTGAGTAGAAGGCCGTTGTTTCGGATTCACTGTAGGACCAACCGCATTCGACTCGTTAATTCCGCTGAACAGACGGCAACTATGATGACGTCGTCGAGGCATGCAGCAACACCTGGTATACCTGCTAGCATAGTATCCATGATCTGTTGAAAAAAGTGGGGGCAGTCTTAATGCCGAATGGCGAACAATTGTACTGGAAAAGACCTCGATGGGCATTGATGGTTAGTAATTCACATTCTGGAGAGACTTCGACTTGTAAATATGCGATTTTCGCGAAATAGGAGATAATGATGTTGCTCCAAAGCAGCACTTAACCCTGTCGAAAAATCAGCATAGATGGATCCATCAGCTTTTTTTATGACGATGATTGGAGCGGCCCAAGAAGGATGGGATACTGGAGTAATGACATCCCGTTCCTGAAGTCGTTTCAGCTCTGCCTCAACGATGCAGCGATGCGTATGGGGAGCGCCTTCTTGGACGAAAAACAGGCGATGCACTTGGTTACAGGCGTAGGACGGCTTTGGTTGTGCTGCAGTGTCCGAGGCCAGGTTAGAATACCTCTGAATATTCAGTAATAATATCGTTAAGGTTCGTCGTGGGGTCTGACGTTGCTTCCACTTTGTTGTATACCATACTCAGTGGGTCGGCCAGTTTCAAACTCTCAAACCAGTCGAGATCCAGGTGTAAATCAGAGTCAGATAGATAAAAAATTCCATTTATCAAAGTATCGTGAAAAGATGTAGTACATGATAACTGACCTGTTAGTGGCAATCGGCCACCGCATGCGCTAATAGCAGTTTTTGCAGTCTTCTGGACAAGAGGTCGACCAATCTCCCATCATAGCTTCTTGAAAATAATCAGAAGCTGTCGATTTGTAGTCATACTGAATGGTTATTTATCTGGAAGGTGATATATTTTCTCCATGCTGGTGGATGTGCTTGAAAAGCAGCAGTAAGACTGAGAGATTTGCCTACTGTTCGAGACTTCGATCTTCGACGGTGACTTTGTAATGGGAGCCGCTTGCAAAATCCGTCCTTGCGACCCACAGTATTACAATCTCTGCATTTATTCTGCTTATAAGGGGAAGATTTAACGAAATGCCATGCACCACAATGCCAGCAGAGGGCGGAGGGGTCTTCTTTGTGTTTCTTTTGGTATTGTATGCGCTGTTGGGATGACGAATCGCAGACGAAGAACCAGGGGTCCTTGGGCCAGAAAAGGATACAGATGAATTCGATTTCTGGCGAATCGCATGCACTTCGTGACCACCCTGGCATCCGGATTGGATTAAACTTATATTCCGTTCCAAGTTGACCAATCGTTGATATTCAGCAGCAATGTCATTCAATATTAGGGTTGGTTCTTGCGTAGGATTCAATGAGTTAGTTGTAGAAATTCTGGACTGAGTTAATAACTCGATAATCTTCATTTGTAATTCGAGAAATTTGTCCAGCCTCAAAAAATCCATTTTTGATCCCATCCCCGTCGTCACTGTTGTTTTTCGTACGCCAACGGTTATATATATTCCTAACGAATATAATACACACGCTTAGCTGGCAGCTAACTTAGTACCCAAGAGTCACTGACTGCAACCCCGGGACGAAATAGAGAGTAGACCGAAAATGGGTGATGGGAGAGTTACTTCTCCGAGAATATAATGTAATAATCAATCCCAAAACACGTGAATAAGTGCACACATGAAAAATGACGTTATCCTCAATTTGAGACATTTGCATAGTAAGAGTAAAGATTAACCAATCAGCGATTTACATTACAATGAGGGCATAAAATAGACTACTAGTCATAAAGAATGGTGTGGGGATGACACGTTAAAATGTTCAGATCAATAACAATGTTTTATACAAAACTGGGGCATCACAACAGTTAAGAGCTCAAATGTGTTGTGATATCTTCGTAGCTGATGCCAAATATAATACGGTGAGGTGAATTTTTCTGATCAATATTGTCAACCATAGCAACTGATTGTTTACCGATCTATGTAATTCATGATGAATTCTAGGAACTCACAAATAAAGCTATAACAGGTAATATGGCGTTTATAAGAACTGACAACTCCCATGAAAGTCATAAATACAGTTTCATTGATCAACTAGAAACTTATTACAAGACGTAGACACTAATTTTACGGTTACTTTATTCAGTTGCAAAGTTTTACGGGAGGCTGTCTCTATTGACATTTTAATTTTGTCTTATGCGTAAAGTCCAGATGATTATCATAAATAATCTAGATTGATAATAAAAGCGGACCGGAAAATGTTACTTCAAATTTTTAATGGCTGAAAATAATTCACCGGTCATTTCAACAATTTTTTTGTTAACATTCATTTCTCCATACATTTGGGTTTTCGGATAAACGCTCGCTAAATAATATGCATCAACAATGAACACTACTCAGGAAGATATTGTAAACAATTTCAGCAGCTTATGAACCAAAATGTTTAACGTCCACAGCGGTGATACATGTTTACTTAGGTTTCAACAATTATAAAAAATAAAGCCTCATTTGAATAGTTATTTAATCACCATGACGCCTCGCGTAGAAACGATATTTCATACTGTATTGATGAAATTTATTCGGAAACCGAGTCGCTCTGTTGGCATTATGCTTCATTATTTGGCAATGCCATTGTTTTGGGGCTCAGTGTGGATGGATTTCATCCCTGCTTAACCCACTAAACGAAGTACAATTTAACAATTCTCATATTCTCGACTCTTTATTGCTATGAGTATAGTGTACTGCGGTCCTGTTGTGTGACGAAAATGGAAATGAAATTTCTCTGAATATTTCGCCGTATAAGTCACAGCTTCATCAGTAAAATATTCCAAACAGGCTAGATTACACTGCATCATATTTTGATAATGATGAAAAGAAACTTGATTCTCAACTTGTTTTAGAACGCTTCACTTAGTGTGATAGCATTTGATACATAAGCATTCGATCAGCATAGGATCATGATCAGCAACTACTGTCTTCCAACCAATCTGCTTCCTTGATAGCAGCTGTCTCCTGTTGACCATCATCGCTGCTGTTTTCATCTCTAACCTCCCCTGTCCAGGATGGTTGTGTAGGCTCTTTGTCGGCCGATATTTGAACTGCTTCTGTTCGTCATTGTGTGCAGAACTTGCATCCGATACTATTTTAGAAGGAGCTGCTGTGGTCTATTGATCGTTTCTAATCTCTTTCCTAGTGTTACGGTGTTTAGCATCGTTTTCACACCAACCTCGAGATGGTACCTGGTTTCCTTAGGATGAGTGACTTTGTCCTATTCTGATAACTTTCTAACCAGATCCTTTGTAAGAAAGCAGTCTTTTCATTTTTGTCGTGATGCTGCGCCCGAAAAGTCTACATCTGCAGTTTGTCAAGGTGAAGACAGGCAACCTCCAACTCATACATCACTGTAGAAGCACCTTATCTCTGAGTGGTTATATTCTACCAACCGTTTCCAGGAATAACTGGTAGGAATACGGTTTATTCACATCCAGTGTTGAGTTGGCGGTGGCCCCACAAGATGATGCCCCTCTCTATTCCTTAAATTAATGTTAACCAGAAATCGGTGACTGTCTGATCACAGACTTAGCGAGTAATCACTGCTATCTATTCTTTGGGCTGGGGTTTCGAATGTACGACCTAAAGGCATTTTTGCTTGGCTTGGATTCGCTGTTTATCTATCGAAGTCATTCGCCGCAACCGTATCTAAACGTTGAACTTCCAGCCTCTTCTCAGATTATCTTCAGAACTGTCGTTTAGCTAACTCGACAAAAACTGGTCTAACAATTAGGAATAAATAAGACTCTTTATTGGTGTACTGTAAGGTGAGAGTTTTATAAGCATGCTAGTCACATCTTTTCATCCATAACTTTAAACAGTGAAAATCAGTCCAAATACCGAGTTCAAAGCCAAGTCAAAGCAAAGAACTTAAAAATACACTTAAAAAATGAGGATGTAAGAGATAGATACCGGTAGAGGAAAAAGTCATTCCTATAAACAGTTAACTATCTATCGTTTAACAGTGAATAATTTGTTTGGAAAAAAATACAGCAATAGAGAAAATAGGCACAAAAAATGACAATGTACAAGAGAAGTAAGAAAAATGAGACCTAGTGAGACAATGCAGTGCAACCATAGGCGCAGTAGACGACGCACTAACTCGAATATCGGACAAGCCCACTCCGCTTTATTTTTCTTAGAAATCATCTGTAACAGGGTATGCTGAGGAATTTGTGACAACATAACATATTCACACTCACTACACATCACAGTAATAAGGAGAGCTGTCACATATTTCTAAGAAAAGTTAATATGTAGAGGAAGGAGAGCAATAGGTGGTAGCAATGATGCTTACCACTTAAAAAGAAAACCACTTTTAAAATAAGAATGTGCAATTATCTGACTTCACATAAAATCATCATATTCATCCACTGCAGCATCATCTTCACCACCATAGTTATAATCATTTTCTCTTTCGACCAATAGTTTGCCTTTGGTTTTCTTCTTTGTTTTACTCTGTAGTGGCAAAAGACAAAAAGATGATTTAATCACAGATTAATTATTATTTTACCATGAACATTACGATATTCAACGCAGCTAGTGTTCTCAAGGTTTCGAACAAACCGTAACTATTGTACATGGATTCGAATTACTTATTTACCTAGATGCAATAGGTTGCCTATATCTAGTAGAAGTGGTAGTATATATCCATCATACCTGATTACATGCATAGCCTGTGGTAAAACTCAAACTGTAAGAGGTTAGAGTTACCGACAAGAGTCAATGTTCTAGAGGGTGAAACTGTAGCGTAATGGTCTAGGTACTCTCTTCTCCTCATGTTCTAGGGGAGAAACTTCATCTTGCAAACGAATGTGTGGAAGCTGTTTCACTGTTTAGACCAAAATATATTGAATGCAAATGGTGACCCATCATTTCGCGTTCATATTTCTGATTTTTAAACTATCAAGAATTTACGAGTATGAGGAATCAATTCTTGAATGTATTACTTGACTTTGTATGAGATTTTCAAATAACCTCTGGACTACCCAAAACGGGTGGCAACTATTATTTTGATCAAGTCCAATACAAATACTGTTTCTATTTGTTTAGTAACTTCAGTCACTTCTGCAGTTCATGATTTTCTGATCCAAGTAAGATGCACTGATGGAATTGAAATGCCTGCAAAACTTAAGCAGCAACAAACAAAAATCAACATCACGTCACATGGAAATTAAATATGTGGTCGCAATAATAACACTAATCAACAGTAATAATAATAGTAATAACAACAACAATAATAATAATAACAATGGAAAACTACAAGTTCAGAATGTGGATCATTAACTGGAATGCACGAATTATCTAACACCTACTATCATACATTTGTTACCTGTTTATCACTTTTCACAGCTACAGCAATTGTTTCTTTTATCAAGAAATATATCTAAACTACTAGAAATATACGCCGAAAGTTCACCAATCTATCTCATTTGGTGCTGTTTAATCCTAGTAACTCATTCAGTAACAATAAAGTCCCCTAAAGCCCAATGAAGGAATAAATTACATTATTGGTATACCGTTTATTACAACGTAGGCAGATTAGGTAAGAAACTGATATCAGGCTCTTTTAAAAAAGATGGAATGAAGTATAAAAACCAATTCTGATACAGACAACATCACTATATGTTTCTTCAAAAAGTTTTGATCCTTTGTTTCATAAGTTCATTTTACTAGGCACTAATTATTTCAATATTTGTGCATACCTCTGATCTTAAAGGTCAGTACTGTCGGAACGATATTCACATCCTTATCTTTAGGAAAAAAATTTACCACGTGTTCAAAATATAAACTCAGTACAGTATGAATAAAAAATATTCCAAACAGTAAGGTGATTCGGCAACCTATAACTGGTTTATATGCTGAGTAGAGTTCCACCTAGTGCGTGATGTGTAACGATACTACCCGGTTGTCTAAACGGAAGTAGGTGAAGTGAAATTTGAACCCTGGGTCCACTGCTTATAAGATGAATGCATAGTTCAAGAGGACATCTTTATTGGAAGAAATAGCTAGCAAACTATTTGTCGAAAATGTCGCTTAGCTACCACTATGTAAAGGCCTGTTCACTAGGCAACAAATCATATGTGTGAGTTTAGTGATACTAGCCAGTCGCGTAAAGCCTACTAAGTGAAGTGGAACTTAAACCCATAAGTTGGAATGCAATTGTCACACTCCTATAAAATTCCTTGCATCTCAAGTTATTTAGCGCTTAGACAGGTATCGTAAACACAAATATTTCAGATAAGATTTGAGTAGAAGCATGCAAATATAATATTTCGCATTAATATTATTGAAAAACCTACCTTTATGAGCTTCTGTTTTTCACTTATCAATGCATTTATGACCGTATTCACTGTTCGGAGGTTGTCGACTTCCACTTTAATAAAAAAAAAGTGCAGAAAATGATGACACATTTATCGATTTGGAACTTAGACTTACTTTCGATAACAAGATCACGGATAAGACTTTCTGCGAATGCCGTGTAATGAGGAGATTTCTGTTTAAGTTGACCAAAAGTTAGTTAGCTTACTTACCTGTATAGTTGTGATTTTTGCCAAAAGCAGCTCATGTAAACGATTGAATTCCTCCTTAGTTTTCGGACAACAGGAATCAATAGTTTCTTTATCACTACTTTGAACAATGGTAGGTCCTATAAAGGAAACTAGATGAGCAAAGATTAAACGCTTTTAACCAAATGTGTCTGTTAATAAGCCTAGTTCAGCCTCCTCAGCAAGTTTCTCCCGTTGAAGTTCCGTTGCAGGCTGTAATTTTTTAAGCTCCTCTTCTTTTCGTAATCTCTCCTCCCTATCTTTTCGCTTTTGTTCGTCTTTCAGTTTTCTGCGCTCAGTTAGAGATAATTTAGCTGGCGCTGGAGCGGCAGGTTTTGATGACGCTGATTGGTTAGATGGTTCTGCATCCCAAGAATCCTTAAATAGATGGAAAACAGTCCTAAGTAATAGAGACGTGACAATAAATAAAATCGACTGCAAATTAGAGTTTCCAAAAATAATTTAAACCAGCTGCATGAAATTTCGCAATCAATAGTTTCTGTAACCTGGTTCATTGCGTCAACGAACACAGAGGCTCCACTTGAATTAATAACCCATAAATCAAGACTGTGGAGCTGCGGCTCAATGGTGTAGAAAGTTGACTGCCAACCACTGGGTCAAGGATTCGAAATCCGTTCCACCTACCGAGGTCTGGGTAGCCAAGTAGTATCATCACATTTCATACAATAGGTGTGGCTCAATGCTTACTGCACAGATGTACACTTTGTTGGCGAATACATTTCTTTTTCATTCCAAGACTACGATGTAATTTAGTGCCATATCAGTGTTAGTAAGAGAGTAAATACTAAGCATATACTTCAAGTCACTACCCTGAGCAATTCACACTTAAGACTCTCGTGGCCTTGCAGCTAACATGCTTTATGTGACTGAAAAGTATAACTTTTCAATAAACCTATTTATGAACTCCTTGCACCTGGTGCCATTATTACGAATACATGTCAGCATAAGCGACAGGTGAAGATCTAATAAATCAGTTTCCTGTAACTTCTCGTGTACTTGTTTATCTTTCAGCAATAATTGAGACACCTTTTACTGATCAGTTATATTCTTAATGTTATTTAACTGAACTGATGAATAGTAATGTTTTCTGAGACTTTTAGAAGGCAATAATAGAATCCTCTTCTGAAAAGACCACTAATACTATTGCCTTCATGCATTATTATTATTATTAGTCCCTTGGGTTCTTAATGGAACATAGGGCTTCAGTAGCACGTCTCCAGTAAACTCTGTTCTCTGAAATCTTTTCAACCTGGCTCCACGACAGCCCACAAGCTCTCATTTCCTCCTCGCACGGCCTCCTCCATGTCACCCTCGCCTCGGACGCCCAACTCGTCGCTTCCCCTGGGGATTCCACTCGAGGGCCTGACGCGTGATGTCCCCAGTCGGCCTTCTCGGTGCATGCCCAATCCATCTCCACTTCCTCTTGTATATTTGTTGCGTGATAGGTTCTTGGTTGGTTCGTTACCAGCCAGAGTTCCTTGTTGCTTATTCTGACTATTCTGGCCATCTGATCATCAGTAGCGAGCGTAAGCAGTTGTTGATGAATGTCTGTAGTTTATTGGAAATCCCTTTCGTTACGCGCCAAGTCTCTCAACCATCACACAGAAGCACTCACTTGACGTTGGTGTTGAAAATCCGTATCTTGTTCCATATGCTGAGTGCAGAAGATCTCCACACTGGTTTCAGGCTTATGAACGCCTGTTTTGCTTTTCCGATTCTGACTTTGACATCCTCGTCTATCCCGCCTGTAGTTGAAACAGTGCTTCCTAGATAAGTGAAGGAGGTTACTTCCTTCAAGTTTCTCCCGTTGACGGTGATTGGAGTTTGTTGTTGTTGTTGATGGTGGTGGTGCGGTATCTTCATCACCTCTGTCTTCTCTATATTCACCTGAAGACCCGTCTTCGCTGCCCTGCCTCTTCTGACAACTTGTTAGTTTTCGTCTGTAGATCTTCAAGTTTGTGTGACATCAGGCACAAGTCATCGTTGGCGAAATCCAGATCTTCTAGGTTCTTTTCCGCAGTCCAGCGTATCCCCCTCTTCTCACAGCTCCCCACTGTTGTCTGCTGCATGATCCAGTCCACCACAATAAGGAATATCATGGGGGATAGTAGGCAACCTTGTTTCACTCCTGTCTTCACTTCAAAAGCATCACTGAGCTTCCCATTGTGAATTACTTGGCATGTGGCATCTTCATATAGTTGTTGAATGAGGCTGATGAAAGTTTGCGGTACTCCGTAGTAATGAAGCAGTTTCCAAATTACCTCTCGGTCGACGCTGTCAAGGGCCTTCTCAAAGTCGATAAAGTTGAGGTAGAGAGTTGACTGCCATTCTATACTCTGTTCTATGATGATGCACAGTGTGGCGTTGCAATTCAGTCGGCACATGATTTGTACTTCCTGAAGCCTGCCTGTTCTGGTCGTTGTTTTGAATCCAGTGCATCCTTAAGTATCTCCAGGATGATGCGGCAGGAGAGTGATTACGCGCCAGTTCTTGCAAACACTGAGGTCTCCCTTCTTCGGCAGTTTGACAAGGTAACCCCTCTTCCAATCGCCAGGTACCTTCTCTTCCTTCCACACCTTCTGCAATAATGGTGTGAGCATGTCCGCTGTTGTCTCTGCGTCTGTTCTCAGTGCTTCTGGCGGGATCCCGTCTGGTCCTGCTGCTTTCCCACATTTCAGTAGCTTTATGGCGTTCACGACTTCCACTTTTGTTGGAGGATTTATGTTCACTTGTAGTTCAGCGGCTGGGCTGCAGGTGGTATTCCCGGACGAATTGCAGGTGGTGGTCGATTCAAGAGCTTCTTCAAGTGGTCAACCCATCATTTCCTTTGCTTCTCTTCTTTGGTAATTAGATTTCCTTCATCATCTTTTATTGGTTTCATCTGCGTTGATCTCTTCCCTCCCAGATAGTAACCTGGTTATTTGATACAATGTTGTCAGGTCCCTCTTACCTGCAGCCTGTTCTGCTTCACTTGCCAGTGTTTCGTAGAAGTGTCTTTTGTCTTTCCGTGCACTCCTCTTCACCTCTTTGTCCAGTGTTTTATACATTGTGCTCAGTTCCTCTTGTCGTTGAGCATCCTTGCACTGGTTTATCTTCTGCTTCACCATGCTCCTCTCCTCTATCAGCTCCCATGTATCCATTGAGATCCATTCTTTATCTTCTCTCTTCTTCCTTCCTAATACGGCTGTGCAAGTTTCTTTCCACATCTCTTTCAAAGCCTTCCAGTGTTCTTCCACACAGGTTTCTTCAGGGATGTTGCTCGATATCTCCCATTTTGTCTTGATGGCTGCCGTGAAGATTTCCTTTGTAGTTTCATCCTTCAGTTTCTGAGTGTTGTACTTGAACTGCGGGCCTTCATGCATAAAAAGAGCTTTATCAAGCACTTCCTTCACTTAACTGAAAAATTCACGATTTGACTGAATAATTAAAAGTTGAAGTCCTAATCAAATAATTTTGTTATCTAATAGCATTTTGAAACAAAGTCTTGAACGAAAATTTCACTTAAGGTAATAAAATTTATTGCTTTATCGGCTGACTGAACACGTGGGACGGGAAAAAACTTTTCCAAAGTGTAATGCTAGCTGTCTGTATTGCACAACTTCCTTGAGCTTTATAAGAACATATTAACAGCATGAAATCTAGAAACAGAAATTGTTCAGCTTTAACTTATTAAACTGTATTCGTGAAGTAATTTGTAATATGGATAATATACTGAATTATATACTAGACCGATGGTTAGAAGGCGTCAATAAGTGACAGCCAGGAATTAGAAAAAAAATTTCTTCTCTTCCACAAAATCGTCAATGACATATGATAATAAAATTGTTTCTACTGACACATGAATCGAACTAAAAAATCTTTTACAAGTTACGCCGCATCTCAAGCTAAATTTCTTACAGTACTGTGATATTCCCTCATCATGCATTTTTCGGTTCCCCTGAGAGGTTTATTAGGCGTAGGATAAAAGGTAAACGACTACCAATGACTTTACCATCATTCTTACAAGTACTTCTTAACTTTATTATTGACCGACTAAAATCGGTCTGTCTTTCCTTATGACGATCAAAACGATTAGTCTAAAGTTGAATTTATAGACTTCCTAATAAACCGAAGTACTTTATAAACTACTGTCAATCTTTAGCCCTTTTAGTACGAACTTTCTATTACATTCTTGTCAACAATAATTATTCGTCAACAAACAACAGCACAGACATGAAATAATCTATCTTTATGTGCGTTTCACATCTAGTCAAAAAGTATATCTTTCAACTATACATTTAACACAGTAGAGTTGATTGAGTGGACCTTCTTAAAGAAGTATTATTTTGAATGAGAACGAAACTAAGCGCTTATGTTCTGGTCCTATCGAAATGCAACTCAGAAGTGACGAGCACACCTATGCAGAAGGCAATTAGCCATACCTATTGTAAGAGCAAATGATTCTACCTAGCTGCCAAAAACTTCAGTAGATGGAGCAAGGTTCGAATGTGTGACCTTCTAGTTGGTCACCTAGTAGGTCCTAGTTGGTCTCTACCCCGTCGCATATTGATAACAGTAGTATGGGTATATATATAGACGGAATCGGAAAGAAAACAAACTATAATCTCAGACTTCTAAAAAGGCGGTATGTGATCGGCCTCAAGTAGATGTTCATTGGGTTCTGCTAGCACACGCCGCTATTGTTAACCCTTCAAGCAGCCCTCCATGATGTGGGCAATCGAGAAGACTTAACAGCCGTCACAACTGTGTCAACATTCAAGTTCTTTCAGACCACTATCAATTTTCGACATCCATACCTTCTAACAGTTCCCCATGTCTTGTAGTCCACTCCTACACCACTTTTAATTCTCTCCAGCTCTGCAGCTTCTGACAAAGATTTCAGTTTACGGGGCAGCATTACTAATCTCGTGAAACCACGCTCCAAACTACACATTGGAGCTTCCAATATCTACACCTTCAGTCAAATCGAAAAACAAGCTTCGCTAGCCAGAACTCTGGCATCTCGGGCCATGGATCTGAGCTGCATTTGTGAGATATGCATACAAAACCCAAGTGCGGTTACTCCCCTAACATCACCCAGTCAATATAGTGAAGCTGAGAAATACACTCTTTTGACTCCTTGAGATTCGATGGATATTCCTTGTGACCATACAGGTGTAAGCATAATATTAAATACTAAGCCAGAAAGTGCATTGCTCGACTGCGTCCCAGTCGAGTCACCTGTCCACAGTTCGACTAAGCAGCACAATGAGGGCTTATAAAATAGTGAAACTTGTCGTTGTCTTTTTATAATCTCTGCTTAAAATGCCATTGACTGAAGCCTCCTACTGAAAGCCAAACGCCAAAATATCATTGTCCTAGCAGGTAAAAATATTCTCTCAGAAATCACGTGCACGTTTATGTAGCAGGCAATGAGTCACACCTATTGCGAGAGCGAAAGATAATACCCGGTTGCCTAAACCTTAGTAGGTAGAGCGTTCTTAGAACCCGAAACCCACTGGTTGAAAGTCAACTCCTTAAATCAACGAGTCACCACTCTACTGTCTTTGCAGGCGATTTTAATGGACTGGGTAGGTTAAATTAGACAAAAAACACTTGAGCAGCACTTTTAAACAGATGATAGAGGTCGTCCACTGCAGTTTTACTCAAACAACCGTCTATTTTTGGCCAGCACAAACTTTGAACATAAACAGAGACAAAGTCTGGGACATCAACTCAAGGGTCGATACACAAAGACAGCAGTGTTATCAGTGATCGCTGGAATAGAGTTGCGAAAGACTGCCACTCCGTCTGGATAATGCATTTGGACAGCGATCAAGCGTGTCAGAAATTAAATGAACGCTGGAAAACTAGTGAAAAAACCATTACAAGCACAGCTCTAGAATGACAATGTAAAGCCTTTCTACACAGAGGATCTGGTTAGAAAGTTATCAGAATAGGACAAAGTCACTCATCCTAAGGAAACCAGGTACCATCTCGAGGTTGGTGTGAAAACGATGCTAAACACCGTAACACTAGGAAAGAGATTAGAAACGATCAATAGACCACAGCAGCTCCTTCTAAAATAGTATCGGATGCAAGTTCTGCACACAATGACGAACAGAAGCAGTTCAAATATCGGCCGACAAAGAGCCTACACAACCATCCTGGACAGGGGAGGTTAGAGATGAAAACAGCAGCGATGATGGTCAACAGGAAACAGCTGTTATCAAGGAAGCAGATTGGTTGGAAGACAGTGGTTGCTGAGAGTTAAGGGGAGAAACTCGGGTCTGCAACTTCTTTTCAGAGGTATGGATAGAACGATGTGCGGAATACTTCTAGTGGCCAAGAGCTAGTTTTTGGTGTCCCCGTATCCAGTCAGATCCTTAATGTAACAGAGACAGACTATAAGAAGGCTATAAGTAACCTGAAGCGGGGAAGGACAGTAAGCTTTGGTGAGCTAGTAGCAGAGGTTTTAGGGACGATGGTCGAGGATTATTGGTAAAACGACATGAAGAGGTAGCTAGCGTATGGCAAGCAGACGTGCTTTCCTCTGACTAGTGTGTCACTGATCGTCGCAGTCTTGCTGAAAAAGAAATCCATTTGCTATAACTTCAGTGAAATCAAGTTGACACACAGTATCTCAGGTCATCGATTCTACAATCATCCGAACTCTAGAAATCCTGAGATTAGGCAGCTTGCAGATCTGGTCGTAAGTGTAAGTATCAGTCTTCACTATCTGTCAGGTCCTGAAACATAGGTACACTTTAAGGCGTCGAACAAGAGCTGCATTTTTCGACCTGATGGCAGCATTTGACTGTGTCGATCGATAGGTCTGATGGCAGTATCTCAAGGAAGGAATGTCAGGTGAATATATCCCACTGTGAAGGCTCTGTATTCGAGAGCATGCTAGAGACCATGTCGAGGTATCAGGTCAGTTGCTTGCTTTAAGTGGTTTCCAAACTCATTCAATCAATGCAGTGAATCCATCAAATTCACTCTCCTAGTTTCTTGAGATCACAGTCTGGCAGACAAAGCTGAAGCGCCATGTCCTGAGAAAGTAAATACATTGCCCGACTGGATCATGGTAGATTATCTGCGTGCCAGTCGACTGATACACGCAGTGTACTAGAAACAATAATGAAAATGCCAACTGATGTCGGTTAAGATATCTTTTCTCTTTAGTTTTATTCATAGACTTATTCGGTCTTGTCGCATGAAACTGCCCTAATAGACATAGTGCAAGCAGATGACTGTCTCGTGAAGACAGTGAAAAAATGCAGTCTATTGGACATTTTTAATGTCAGGCAGTATGAGTAAGGGATGAGTTTCCTTTCACCTTAATCCAAACTGTTACTCAAAAACTGGTCTGTGTTGATGCTCCGTCTAATACTAGACAGTGGAGTAATTGACCTTCTTTTTCTTGGAAAGTCAGATCAGTCGTGAAGGTTCAGTGGCTGACGAAATCTCTGCAAGGATATGAAGGCCTCGGTTAGGCTTTTCAACACAAGCCACCGGTGTGATTTCTGATTGTTTACCAAGAGTTAATTGTACTACAACAATTTACTGTCGTGTTTCATGGCCGATAAAAGTGAATAAAATGAGGTTTTAAAATATCTTGATGCATACAACTCACTAGGACTCACTAACCCCATATGAACAGACATTTGTAGTTCCTGGAAAAGTTTTTCTACTTGCTGTTTACATGTAACAGGATTGTTTACAAAACATGGAAAGAGGGTTAGTGCTGATGTTCAGTATTTCCGGCAGGGTTGATGGATAATGGAAGCCCACTCCGGTAAACTGGAAAACTGTGAGTTCAAAACAGTGATGCACATGAAGTACAGGATCCACAATAGATGAACGGAATACGGGACTACCTTTTTACCTGGCAACAACAAGGAAGACCAGGAGTTACTCAGTTGATCCATAGATTTAATATCAAGTCAAAGTTTCGGCGAGTTGCTTCACGGGAAAACCAGTTATACTGTCAATTGACAACACAGTTAGGTAAATACGTTCAAAATTCACTTGGTGTCTTCCTAGTCAGAAATCCCTTCGAACACAATCTAAAACACTTAGGTTGCACTTCTGAACTATGTCAAAGGTTTCCAACCACTACCCATGAAACACCCTGTAAAAAAACATGTTTCACTCCAAGAGTCATTTCAACACGGAAACTTATCTCATAAAGAAATATGTTTCAACATAAGAAAGTGTGAAGCTAAGTCAAGACCCAAGGAGATCAAGTCATTATATGTTAACCTCGGAGCTTTTTGACGCATAGTGATTTTTTTCACATCTTCCGACGGACATTGAGGTGTTAAGGTTTGCGCAAACTCTCAACGTGACTTTTCCGCCCAACTTTTCTTCAGCTTCATCGGAAGTTTTCGTTGCCTGGATCCATGACTTGCATAGGACAATATGCAATCTAAAGAACGTCTTGGCTAGTACCATTGTTGCTGGAAACAAAACCTTTTTCCAAAATCAAACTTATCATTCGAGATTACGTCATTGATTTGCTGGTCTCGACATGCAAAAGATCTCTCAAGGGACTTACCGGCACAGCATCATCATCGTCATCATCCCAAGATGCCTTTAACTGCTTGGCCACCAGATCATTTTCCTCTTCATCATCTAGAAAAGATACAATATGAAGAAATATCTTTCTAACTCACCCCAATCGCCCATTTTAGAGAACACCACGCACCTGTCACGCCAAAACTCACAAACAAGTAGAGCGCGCAACTCTAGGTCATCACACTTCTGAGAGGATCCTATTTTAGCTGTAAATTGCTTCAATTGATTATTAACGGAATGAAAGCTTTTACGCAGCCGGTTACTGTGTTTGAAGCACTTTCGTACGTACCGCTTTTTCATGAAAATTACAATCTGACATCTTGCACTAGCATCCCCAATGAATCTAGTGATGCCGTATGATAAATGATGTTCCTTCAAACAGTTGTACACCTGACTTACTCAATGGTCCAATCTTTGAACTTTCCCAAGGAAAAGCAGATACTGTCGTCCGTAGTTAAATCCCGGAGTATGTAGCCCAGAGAAACGTAGTAAAATGTGCGGAAGTCCTTACATATGTCAAAATCTTCCTCTTCAGTGAAAGACAGAAATTGTGGATGCGTTTCCTACCATACTGTCGGAAGTTTTTACAATGTGGACCGCTTCCGAGAATTCTGATACTTGTCTTGATGTTTCTCCTATACACAAATGAACAATGCAGCACCAAAACATCCCTCATGACCCTTCACGCTGGCGACGCAAGACTGCAAAATTAAGCAGAATCTGATGGGAGATGACACTAGACAGGCCTAAAGAGTATGGTTTACCTGGTCGGAGAAGCAGCTGGCTCCAGTCAACTCCAGCAAGCGCTTGCTTTTTCACATAATACATGCAGATGGTAACACTTGAGTTTACTGGAATTCCTGTACTCTCAGTGCTAACCCACAAATAGCCAAGAGTTATTATAATGCTTTATCGACCACAAGACACTGTCGGTCAACAGCAGCTGAGAATTCTAGAACACTAAGCACTACAAAGAATTCTAACTGTGGTCAGTAAAAAAATTTTCACCGTGTAATCCAAAGCCTCAGTCGAACCCTGGCTGCAATGGTTCCCACAAGTAACAGACCACTGTATAGATTTGCTTCAGACCTACAAAGAGTTTGAAGGATGATTACTTACGAAGACACAGCAATGGCCATCCTGGCCCACGAAAAACAGTTTCAATGGCTTCACCGAATTCCTTTCTCATGTGGTCTGAGCATGGTATAACCCTTATTACTTCATTGCTCTCGCATCAGTATATCTTAAGGAAATTTGGTCTAACTGACTTTCTGTGCATTTAACAGTCCCCCACTGCATCCTACCTCCGAGTCTGCTGATTAACATGCCCTAGGTTAGAAATTTTCTCCACAGATAGCACTTCTATTTGACCGTTTAAAATCCCTTGACGATAATCCCCAGTGATTTCTGGGAGCCTGTATCTACGCTTCTCTGCCGTTATCATATATGGATGTATACGCTTGCCTAAGTGTGGCTTGTCGTGTCAAAAGCCCTGGGTAACGTTTCTCACCATGGTTTCAACTCCTATTAAAGATGTCACCACCTATTAAAAGTCGCGGAAAGCCACTTGAAAATCCCTATTTCCATATCTGTGGAGAAGAGTGATCTTTTCAGACGTTGTTGGCTGGGCTATAGGACAATAGATTGCCGTGGATCCATCGTAGATTTTTATCGTGACACCGGCCGTGACGACTCAAAAAAATTATCTGACTGAGCTAATCGCCCTTCTGACCTGGTCGTAGATACTATGGGATCAACTGCAAAACCTGGCACCTCGGATGACTTACGTAAACCCCTAATTAACATCCGAAGTGACTTAATTGAACGTGAAGCCTTATCTGAGGCTCGACCGATTGTTATCTGTATTTCTTTTGAAGTTACACTACGAATACTCGAGAGTGGCAACACTGTTACGCATATTCTCCCTTTTTCGGCGCGTGTTTCGAATAACCTGATACGCTGTTTGTCCCCAACGAACAAGTAAATGGCACAGTGTCTATCCCCGCAAAACAGCTTCCAGCCATATGTGAACAGTGAACACGAAACAGTCAAGCAACTGGGCATGAAAATTGCTACTTCCAACTTTGAAACCGTCAGCACAGCTCGAAAATACCTCTTCTCGGCCGCCTGGACTATCCAGATGGTATGGTTTTTGGTTTTCTTTGGAAGTCATTCACCAAGGAATATCTTTCTTGGTTTGTGCCCATACACTTAAGGTTTTCGGTCAAAGTTGCTGATCAGCTGAAAAAGATCAAGGAACAATCTTTCGTCGCAAGACGCCTCCTTTACCCTTTCTTCTTCTCATCTCTCACATAATCTGTTTATTATGTGCAGATCACGAAAGTGGTATGGAAGCCTTGGTCATAGCCCACAACTCGTCAAACGAGGTTAGCGGGTGGGCAGAAACTAGACTAAGGAAACCAGCTAAACATGGCGACGTCCCAACCCCAGGATCCCTGCATCAATGTAATGCCAGACACGGAGGTCACCAAAAACTGTGGGCTTTTGTAGTCAGGGTGATAGTAGTACGCCTTCAAATGTCCCCCGGAAAAAGTAGAAGACGTAATTGGTGGGAGAGGCATTACTGGGTTGAGGAGCCCGTCAAATTCGGCGCCTATCAGTTTATCTTTCTCACTGCTGCTCAAGGCTCCTTTGCTTGGTCTTGAGAGGAAGTTCAGAACTTTGTTCATTGGTTTCCGCTGTGGCACAGGTCAGAACAGGTGTTTTAGCCAAGTCACCCTGATGTTCCTACTCATCTTTCTGAGCGGTCGTAAATAAATATTCGACTCTCAAATCAAGAACTTAACACACGAGAAGCCCGTTTACAGGCATCATCGAACTGATGTTGGCGGGGAGATCTCCAGTAATTGAGCTGTCCCGAGAGATGCAGAGGGGAGGACATCAAACTTTATCGTCATGTCAAAAGTGTCTGCAGGTTATGAAAAGAATAGGAAAATATCACTCTACGGTACATACAGATTGTTGATGAGTTTCGGCCATTCCCATTCGCTGTTCTTTTTGCACGATAAAGTGACATCAAAGTTGCACGATATTCGACGTTTGCGCCACATATCACTGAGACGCTCAATCTTTCGGTATAGTCCCGTGTTTCGTCAGATAAACGTTTATTTTAACATCACTTCACATGCTTACAGTATCACCGACCAACAAAAGCTCACTTCATCGATTTTGGGTTGCGTTAAGTGTTAACATAACCATCTTATCTACGAGAATATCCGGTTCCACGCATTTCTCACTCTTCGTGCTACCCTAAACAGCGATAAAGGTGTAAGCCATCGGAATTAGCGTTTGTGGTAAAAAGAAATAAGCATTTGAAGGACTAGTATCCGACGGTAAAGAGGTTTTGCACATAGAGTTCACACTGAAGTATGTAGCACTATCAAGGAGGCATAATGACTGCCAACTGCCTCCTGTCAGACGAAGTCAAACGAAATAGAGTATTGGAGAAGTCTGCTGCGTGGGTTAGTCCGCTAACGTTTCACTTTGAGTTACTATGTGAGCTGTTTGCCTAGATTCTCATCGTCATTGTGCTCGTCCAGAGGCCCTAGACCAGATACCGTAATTGAGTTTTCGCACGAGGCATCATTTAGGATGTCAATGAGCAGGGAAGTTTGCCGCCGAACCTTTCAGAAAATTGGAAATCAGTAGGGAAAAACCGACTGAAGAATTCCTTCACTAACTTCTGACATCACGTATGGAGTGGTATGTTCAGTAAGACGATATTTTCGGTCGAAATTATGCCCAACATTTTTTTCCCAAGCTTACACTGAAAAAGGGGAGAAAGAAAGAAAGCACACGCAGAAACCGGAGAGTGATTTATCACAAAAGACAAATTGAGGAGGGAGAAGTTCCCATCTTAGAGCCACTCGAGCTGTAGGTACACCTTAAAAATAACTCTTACTAACCTCCTACGTAAAGTTCATGCAATTTTTTAGGCATACCATGTTTGCTTGCTGAAGTGCAGGGAAAACTGACTCTACACCAGGCGAGTGCATCAAGTTTCCGCTCGTTTAGTACCTTGCCTCCTCTATATCCCGACATTTCCCACCCCACATTCCGCTGACTCCAGTGATGACCATGAAAGAACACTTTTATCCTATCTCGTTAATGACCTAATCCTCTTTGTAGCCCCATCTGAATTCGTGTTCTTCCGTTCAACTCAGGTTCTATTTACAACGAGCTAAATTATCTAAAGTCTCTAGCTTACCTGATCAAACCGTACTGCTTTTTAATCACCAAAACTTGGCATACGTCAGATACCTCAAAACTCATTTTGCATCATAATGACAGCAGTACTTCTCAAGGTGAGGGTCGCATCGTCTGTGTTCGCTCTAATTTTTCATCTTCAAACGCCCTTCCTTAGGGTTGGGTGCTTTTAGATGATGCAGTATCCGTGAATATTAACACTTGCCAACATTACAAAACTGCTGTTGGTTGCCTGTATATGTCACCACACGCTAGACCTAATGTTGAGGAACATATCAACGAAATATTCAAGTTGCTGTCATCCCTGTCAACTTGTTTAGTCGTAGGTGGTGATTTTAATATGCCGGGTATCACATGAGAGACGCCACAAGGACCGTCTAGTTTCAAACCATTTTTTACAACCTTAGAAACCAATGGGTGGGTTCAAGTTGCCGGTAGCTGTACTCGACGAAGTAATATGCTTGACCTTGTTTTTAAACAATGCCCCAACATTCACCATAAATGCCAGCAGAGAATTCCCGGAAAATGATTACAGAGTTGTAGCCTGTTAAATCTTCGCACCATGTTAGCGCGCTCCTACGTTACTGAGGCCTACGACACTCTTTCGCAAAAGTTTCGTTGACATAGATTGGCCGAGCTCACAATACTTAATGGGCCGTCTATAGCTGGACGTGCTTTGTTTCATCCGATGATATGAACAACTCTAGTGCAAACTTCCATCTCAATTTAAACTCCTTTCTCGACTCCGCAGCCCCAAAGGAGGCACAAAAGTCACATATTAAAGTCAAAGACTACATCCCTATAAAATTCAGGAGAAAACTGGGGAAACTGAGGATAAAGTTTTCGCAGCCCATTACTTTTCCACCATTCTTGGTGTCCATGCTGTTTTCAGTGACCTGGAAGTTCGCAGACGAAAAGGTGAAACCTCTACCGACAGTAAAATCCTGAAACATGCTGACACGACTAGTCTCCCTGTCACTTCTCTCGAAAAGAAATCCCGTAATAGACCTGACACGCTGAATATGTTGAAAGTGGACAACAAGATCGTTACAAACTCCACAGAGGTATATGAGCTACTAAGCGAAAGTTAGCCTCTCCCTCACTGATTGTGGCAGCAGCCTTGCAACACTCAATG